GTAACAAAAATTGATTGCTAAAAAGATTTAGAATCCGGAAGCCGATGAAGGAAACTTGTAGCTATGGTTCTCTCTATGTAGGAGGAGGAGGTTATAGGTATTTCCCCATAAAAGGGAAACAAATTAGAGCATAGTTTTTCAATAGGCGAGCTAGGTATGAGAATGTGGGAGACTCGCTAAGTCGGGTAATCGTTTTGAAGCTTTGAACAAACGATTACCCGACTTTTATTATATGTTAAAGTGTGTATATTCAGTCTGATAAAACTGATAATTTTAAATTTATATTTTCTTTCCAAAATTTTATAAATATCTCCTTGATAATCTTTATTAAAAAAAATTATTTCGAGATATCAAACATTATCTATTACAAATTAAAACAGATTCCTTAAAAAAATAATATTAAAATGTGTGTGTATGCGTGTGATAAAACTGATAATTTTTTTAAAAAAATGTTTAAAAATCTCTCCATGAAAAATCTACATGGTAATCTTTATTAAATCAAATTTATTTTGATATATCAAATATTATCTATTACAAATAAAAATAGATTCCTGAAAAAAAAAAAAACTAGAAAGACTTGGTTATAACTTATAAGTCAAGGCAATATAAAGTAAATGGTGATGGCTACTTTCAAGATAAAAAAAAAACATATGACTTATTTTATGATTTTAAAAAGTCGAGGTTCCGACGAGTTCAAAAATAATGGAATTAATGTCCTTATAAATACAAGCATCATACTTCGTTTAGGTCACAAAACCATAAACACATTGCTTTCTATTTAAAACTCTCTGTATTTCTCTCCCTATGGAAGCTCAACTTCATGCTAAGCCTCTGGCTGAAGGAGAATGGTCCACAGGCTTCTGTGATTGCTTCTCTGACTGCAAAAAACTGTAATCGCTCTTTTCACAATTACTTATAAAAATATATTATATATTAATAGTGTATGTGTAAAAAACTGAAAACAAGGAATTTCATGTTTATAATAGATATACCGTTTATACTTTTCATCTAGATTTCTTCATCAACTATTTAATTTATGAAAATTAATTGCAAAAGTACTTAGTATTTATCTTGCAAAAATGAACGGACAGGTTGTATCACATGTTTGTGTCCATGTATCACATTTGGCCAAGTCGCTGAGATTGTAGATCGAGGATCCATCGGTAAGTTACTTATACAATACACGTACGGTATCATAAAAAAACTCTTGTCAAATTTGGCGGCAGCAAAAGCTAATGCTAAATAATTGATGGTTCGAAAATTTTCAGATTGTTGTGCGGCTGGAGCATTATACACGTTGATAAACATGCTAACATATTCTGCATGGATGTACTCGTGTTGCTATCGCGGAAAGATCTATAAGAGCTCAATACAATATTAGAGGTGATGCTTGTACTGATTGCCTTAAACATTGCTGCTGTGAGCTTTGTGCTTTGACTCAACAATACCGTGAACTCAAGCACCGCGGTTTCGATATGAGTGTTGGACTGTTGGTAATTTGTTCCTTCTTTATACGTCTTTTTTTTTTCTCTTGTTTCTGATTGATTTGTTTAGTGTAATCTCAAAACAATTAACACTCGTTAAAAATTATTGTGGTATTTTAGGATGGGCGGGGAATGCAAGGAGGCAACAGACTCAAGGAGGTGTGGCGATGGGTGCTCCAGCCGTCCAAGGTGGCATGACCCGCTAAGATTTATTTTCTTTATGTAAATCATGATTTGTCATATGTGTAATAAAAAACGAGGTTTAATCCTCTGTCGTCGTTTGTGCTGTGTAATATGTTTGTTGTGAAAGTTTGAACATGAGTATTTCTCTAATGTATATCCCAATGTATCACAAGTTACAAGTGTTAAATTACAACGTCGATGAAGTTACACCAAAACAATATTTAGGTCCTTTTTTATGGATGTTACGTTATTTTGTCTTTCTATTCGTCTCTCAACGAACATTAATCGGAAGATTAGTCTAAACCTAGCTAAAACAAGAAAATAATATCTTGAGGTTGCTGGAAATATAAATATAACAAATAAATGATTTTTTAATATGAATACAAATTTTTTAATATATTAAAATTTTAAAAAGTAGAAACTGCTAAAAAATTTTTTTTTTACTGATTATGGGCATTTATAAGTTTTATTTAACAATTTTTCTTAATTTTTGGAGAATTGTTTGCTAATTATAGAAATTTTTTCCTAATTATGAGGCTTTTTTGCTAATTATGAGGCTTTTTGTTAATTTTGAAGTCTATTTTACTAATTTTGAGGCCTATTTTATTAAATATAGGGCCTCACAAAAAAAAAATTCTTCACAAAATGGGCCTTGAAAATTTGAGGCCCAATACAAATGATTCACCAAAATGTGTGAAGGGTCGGGCCTGATCATGGGAGATGTAGCTGCTTGTTTCTTGTTCGCTTCGACCATGACAATAAAGAGGTGAAAACTGAAAAGTATGATCCGCCTTTATGCTAGCCACGACCTCCACCCGTATTGAAGTTGCTCCAAATTTCCTTTATGCCATGCACTTTTATGTCTCTGTATTTCAAAGAACGTGTCAAGAAGAAGAAAAGAAATAGATAGATAGATAGATAGAGGGAGATAAGAGAGAGAATAAAGAAATACCTCAACACTTCTTTATTGTAAAAGGCGCGTATAATCGGAAAACTCGAAAACCAGTAAGGGTGGTTGGCTCGGATGTAGATGTTTTGGAAAAAGTTATCTTCAAGGTGGCTAGTTTCTGAACAGGGACGCAGTCCATCACAGATGTGACATTGACACATGTTGAATGACATGTCAACAAAGATCTGCGTATACCCATAGAAAGGATTGGGGCATAATGCAAGTTTTGTACAGTAGAACCTCTATAAATTAACACTTGATAAATTAATTAACAAATTTTGTCGGTTCCGAGTCGGGTCAGTGTAAAAAATTAACTAAATTCGATAAGATTATAAGATAAAATTTTTTTTGAAATCCCTATGTAAAAATATAGTCTCAATAATATTATAAATTAATATTCATGTAAATTTACATATATATATATGCATAATTTTTGTTTTAATAGTCGCATAGGTTTTTAAAATACAACAATGGATGTCACTATTTATGAATTTTAATTTATATATATCATTTGTATATGTGAATTCTACAATCGTTGTTATTCATTATCAAAAAAAAAAATATTTTCGCTTCGAAATATTAAATATTTTCGCTTCGAAATATTAAATATTTAAGTCTAAAACTATAAAAGAAAGATCATAAAGAAGAGTTGAATTCCGATGGTAACTTAAGGGATCAAAGAATCAAAATACAGTAATAAACAGATTTTTTTTTTTTTTTTTTTTTTTTTTTTTTTACTTTTGTTGGGTATACGGTTGTTATTCACACTATAACCAGATTAAATTCCTCGAATCAAAACCGCAATGAAGCCTGTAAAAGTTATATTAGGCCTATTACCCTTAAGGCCCATCACTATCAACACTTGGTTTGGATTTTGGAACGAAGGCATTCTTCTCAGCTCCATCCCAATTTTAGTGATGTGAGTTAAAAAAAATCAGTTTTTTGATAACACATCTTTATTTTTTCTTACAAGTACAACAACTAGTATTTTTTATTTTTTTGAACACTTATACAGACATACAGTTATTCTCGTAAACGACTAAACGACTGCCTGCTAAGCTCCGTTTTCTTTATCCTCTAGTAAATAAGATTACACATTTTAATAAGAAGTATCTCATCTTCTTAATGAAGTTTTAATTTGTACTTTGGTAATCATTTTTTTTTTAAATAAGATTATACTTTGGTAATCTTTTATAGTGAGTTAGTTTCCCATATGATTGTGCACTAGAATCTTTGTAAGTCATGGTCCAGTTCACTTGAATGAGCCATATTTGTTAGTATGGCCTTTAAACTTATATGGCTGGTAAGATCATAAGCATCTTACATCAACGCAACAAGTGCATCCACCAGCTACCTACCACCAGCCTTGCACTATTCAAGAAAATCAAAACAAGTTGAAATATTGTCAAATATAAAATCTTACATTTATATAGCGGCTCTTACCGATTTCAAATCTTGTCATTCTTCAATATTGGATGATTAGTAATGTATATATAAGAAAATGAAACTATCATTATGCAATTTCACTGTTTATTTTTCGACGACTAATTTTAATCAAACTATACTACATATCGATTTATTTTACACGGAACCTTCGTATTGTTCTGAATGCTATGTGCGACTACTTCACCAAATTCTACCAGTCAACACGCAAAGGCCAAAAGCAAAGAGGACTGGACCAATGAGCTAACATATCTTATAATTATATGGTCCATGTTTAGTAATAATGAGTTAATGGCAGACCAAATATGGCCTATAATATTTTTATTTTTTATTTTTAATTTTAGGATGTGATACATATATAAATCCAATTAATTCTCCGATTGAAAATCTCCACTTGCTTCATTTGTCGTATGTGTAATTAACTAATTTATCAACTTTCATTTCATTATTTGTTTAATATTCACATGACACACCCTTTTTTTTATAAGTGCATATTCATTGATACGAAAATTGTTTATAGATTTAGATTACAACTCTTCATAGATTACAAAAATTCAGAGTCAAAAATCTAAAAATGAATTTTTTCTATTAGTGTTGATTGCTTTTATAAAATATATAAATGTTTTAACAAAAATAACGACTAGTTTAAAAAGAGCTCATAGTAAAATTATCATTGTAGAATTTGTAAGTCCATGTAAGTGCTAAATCTAAAAAACAAGTCTTTTTTTTCTTTCGTGAAAAAATGATGGGAAACAGTTATATACATGTGTAATTTCTCATATTTCAAATATTATCCATTAGAAGGCTTGGTAAAAGTCAACTAAAATATTTATTAGTAAATGGTGTGGTGGCTACTTTCAAGAAAAAAGTTTAGGTTCTGACGAGTTCAAAAATAATGGAATTAATGTCCTTATAAATATAAGCATCATTCTTCGTTTATGTTACACAATACAAACACTGCTTTCTAAATAAAAGTCTCTTTATCTCTCTCTTTCTGTATTTCTCTCTTTTTCCATGGAAGCTCAACACCTTCATGCTAAGCCTCATGCTGAAGGAGAATGGTCCACAGGCTTCTGTGATTGCTTTTCTGACTGCAAAAACTGTAATCACTCTTTTCACTACTACTTATAATTATACAGTATGTGTAAAAAACTGAAAACAAGTAATTTTATATCTGTAATAGATATGCTATTTATACCTTTGATCTATATTTCTTTAGACTTCATTATGAAAAAAATAATTAACAAAAGTACTTAGTATTTATCTTGCGAAAATGAATGGACAGGTTGTATCACATTCTGGTGTCCATGTATCACATTTGGCCAAGTCGCTGAGATTGTAGATCGAGGATCCACTTGTAAGTTACTTATAATACCCGACATCATAAAAAAGCTTTTGTCAAATTTGGCGGCATAATGATAAATAATTATTGGTTCAAAAAATTCAGCGTGTGGTACGGCTGGAGCTCTATACGCGTTGTTAGCCGTAGTAACTGGTTGTGCATGTTTCTACTCGTGTTTCTATCGTGGAAAAATGAGAGCTCAGTACAATATCAGAGGTGATGATTGTACTGATTGCCTTAAACATTCCTTCTGTGAGCTTTGTTCTTTGACCCAACAATACCGTGAACTCCAGCACCGCGGTTTCGATATGAATCTTGGTAATTTACTTCTTCGTTATACGGTTTTTTTTTTTCTTTTTCATTTTGTTGATAACTGATTGTTAAGAGTTACTATTTCAAAACATTGACATTCGTTAAAAATATTAATGTGGTATCTTAGGATGGGCGGGGAACGTGGAAAGGCAACAGAACCAAGGAGGTGTGGCGATGGGTGCTCCGGTCTTCCAAGGCGGCATGACCCGCTAAGATTTATATTTTTATGTAATTCATTTGTCATATAGTATGTAGTAATAAAACGAGGTTTAATCCTCTGTTTGTGTTGTATAATATGCTTGCTTTAAAAGTTTGAACATGAGTGTTTCTCAATGTATACTCTACTGTATGGTTACAAGAATTAAATTACAACGTCCAGAAAATCATACCAAAACAATTCTTTCTCTCTCTCTAATTAATCCAAGATTTAGAAAAATGCATTTTTAATATAGTTATTGTTGATTAAATGTAAATTTAAAAAAATTGAATACGATTGGTTTAAAGTTATAAAATTGTTAATTATAAAATTAATACATTTATAGTTAATTAAAAAAAAATATGTGTATAAATTAAAGCTTAAAAATTGAAGTAATTAGTAATTATAAAATTGAGAATATTAGTATATAAGATATGTGCCGCAGATGTATCAGACAAAAATATATGGATTTAAATTAGGAGGTTTTGCTTATCTTTTACACTACACATAGCAATAAACTGTTACTATCTTAAAGCATAACACAACCCTATTTGGACCAAATTGGAAACATTAATTGCATCTAAACTGCAAGAAAAAAAAAAGTTAAGAGACGAGACTATATATATGTGAACATATGTGAATATAAATCTTTTTTTTTTTTATGGATAGATTATTTCTTTGCATTCGTCTTTCCACGAACATTAATCGGAAGACTAGTGTAAACTTAAAACAAGAAAGCAAGATCGAGATAATAACAGCTCCACTTCCACGAAACTACCGTGAAAAAAAAAAAATAGTAGAGTTTACCTTTTTTTTTTTTTTTTCTCTATAACAAAAAATAGTAATCCAAGGGTAGGTAGGGCCTGGTGGGATTAACAATCCCTTAAATTAACTAAAAAATATTCGGTCAAGGATCTGACACTTATGCTATAGTCAACTTGTGTGGCCGCCTTATACATCAAATGATTTCATTTAGCTGAGATTGTAAATGCCAAATTGAAATCGTCTACTTGAAATATTTTACTTCAATTTTATTTTTTTTTGTCTGAAAACTTCTAAATGTATATATTCAGCCAACCCCATTTCTCGCTTATACGATACACCTTTCACTAGTTCTCCACTTCACCTTGACTCCTTCAACGTTAAATTTGGTTTTGGTTTGATTCGGTTCCATTTCCTAGTAAAGTTATGACTAAACTCGAACCAAAGTTTTATTGTTCAATTCAGTTTCGAATACAATTCAATTTGGTTGGATCAAAAGTGCCCACTTTAAACGTTGGGCTCATTAAATTGGGCTCGAAGATAGAAATATGTGCCTTGATTGGGCTTTGCATTATAGGTTTGGGTTTGATGTCACGAATATAAACGGTGGAACTTTCTTTCATTCCGTTGGAATAATCAACGACGTATGTATGGAAAAAAGGAGATTTTACCTATATATCTGCTTTCTCTAGAAATTGGATGAAAAATTAAGAATAAACTAGTAATATTGAAAATTTTTGCCTGAAGTTTTTTTACTGTTAAGCGGATGACGTTTTAGACGTGGAATATTGCATGGGTTTAAGGGATGGTTAATACTTAATACTATAGTATATATACGTTAACTGGTTTAGATGCATTGGTGACTTGGTGTTGTAATTACGGACATCCGCTGCAACTGATCCGCTGTCGTCATTTACATCATTGCAATGAGAGATATGATAGTCAAGATCAAATATAGATAAATTACATATTATATGATGATAAAATAAAAGTTTTTATTGTGTAAGTTCTGCAATGCCAAGATAAAACAGAGATAAGTGATTTATTATATTTTGTTTTGAAACAAGGTTCTAATGATGGAATATAATGTCCCTATAGATATAAGTTTTTATAGGGACTACTAATAGTCTATATTAGGTAATTTTACAAGTTTTTGACAACATGTATATAAGAAGACGGATGATATATAAATCACAAATATTTTTTGTTTTTGTTTTTGGCTAGCTATATTGAATCATTGAGAGTAAGTTGACAAAGTTAAACGCTACTGAGAAAATTTTTACAAATTCCCCTCGTAAAAATTTGGTTCGGTCGTGAGTCGTGCATGACTGGCCAACGAGGATTATTTTAAGTTTTGAGTAGCACACCGAACCGAGTTATTTTGCATCTGATTAAGGTGTCAAAATAAAGAATAATGGACCCAAACGGTCGAACTTTTGTTTTTTTTTTTTTGTCGTCTAGAGTTTTATATTATACATCGTAGAAACATACAAAGCCGAAGAACATAAGTTCTCGGAGTCAAAAGCCGGTGGAAAACAAGTATTCCCCGGAAACAAAGCCCTATGAAAGGGAGACAGTGAAAGTATTACAACTTAACCCAGAAAAGCTATAACCAAAATATGAAACTAAGCCTTTAAACAATCTTAACTTGCTTGAAAGAAACTCAAGGATCAAACTAACAAGGAACTAATAGAAAGAGGAAATCTAGCAGAATATTCCAAAAGAAAATAAGATACTAAGAGGGGAAGAACCGAATCTCTCACTTAACCCTCGTCCCAGGAACCTTTACACTTAACGCGCGACCTGGCGAAGCCATGAGTGCAATCCAATCAACCCGAAACTTCTGCAAGAGCCTCAACCACGAGATCCCAAAGCTTGAAGGAAAAGTAAACACTTCGACGACCCTCTTCTCAAACCCAAAACCAAATTACGCAGAGGAGAGAACCAAGTAGAATCTGCGAAATCACCTAACCGGGAAACACCAATCACTTCGAGGAGGACAGCCACAAGAAGAACGACTCCCTGAAAATTTTGCCTCAAAAGAAAACAAACGAACCAGCTCTGGAGTGCTTCCACGAGCAAGAGAAGAGAGGAGCAGCCGAAGAATCACAATCCACACCACAAACGCAAGCAAGCTTAAGATGGAGAAAAAGCAGCCCTGAAACTAAGGCCAAAGAAAGCCTAACCGGATATGATACGTACAACATAGAGTCCAAATTTGAATGGGCCTACAAAGAGTATATCCCAATATAAAGCCCAATTGACAACAAAGAGAGATGCTGAATGATAATCTTGACCACACGTGGGAAGCTTAGAACATGATAAGAACGTGCCACGTGTTGCAGCAAAGCAACAGTCATCGACCACCAACCTCCGTCACCTGATATTCCAATTCCGGTGAAAAAATCATCGCCGGGAAACAATTTCCGGCCAACGAGTCTTTAGTTTTTCACCAATTTTTGTAGATACGGCTAAAGAGACATATTAAACAGATCGAAACAAACTCAATCGGTTGCTAAATCCACCCATAATCATTTGGGATTCAGCAAACAAAGTCCAACAGAGAATGATAAGATCTGAAAGTCCACCACCGTTTGCTAATCAAATTGAAACTTAGATAATCAAGTAAGAACGGCTGAGAGGCAATCTAAAATTAGCGAAGGAACAGATCTTCATACCATCAAATCTTAGTCGCAGAACTCTGAAGCTATCTTAAAACGGTTAGAAAAAACAAACATCAAGTCCAAAAGAAACATGCCTGAGAGAATCGCACTTAGGCAAAGAAGATCCGCCTAAAACAACGACACCGACATAGATCGCACAATTTATTCAAGCGAAAGACAAGAAGCGGCAACGGATAGCCGAAACATGAGCCGGACCACGCCGGAAACAAAGCCGGACCTCGCCGGAAACAAAGCCCACCGGTAAACAAACCGAAAGGTGAAACAAGGATTGAGTTCTCTCTCTCTGAAGAATCCTAGAGAGAGAAGAGAGAGAGAAAATCATTTTTCGTCGAACTTTTGTTTATTCCAATAATTAAATGTACATTAACGATAAATTAAATAATTAGAAAAAAAATCATCCTATACTATTATTTGGGGAGTACACTTTATAAGATACCCTTAACTAACCTTCTCATTTGTAAAAAATTACTTAAGAATGCCATTAGAGATAAAAATTTAAAGAGTAAATTAATTCAGTTCATTAAGGATAAACAAGTCAAATACTAATTTATGCAATTTAATTAATTTAATTATTAAAAACGAAAATATATTATTAATTTAAAAAAAAGAATGACCAATCAAAATGAACATATAAGATTTGATATCTAACTTACCATATTAATTTGTTATTAATCATTATAGTTCACCTCTCATCTTTATATGATTCTATTTTTATGAAACAAATAAATCATCATATCATGATCATCCATATAAACAAAAAAAAGTAATTTTTTTCTCCATATGCAAAGATTTGAATTTTTAAAAACGAAATTAAATTGTAAAATCTATGAAGAAAAAAATTTAACGGGTCAAAAATTCACATTTGAGTAATATATTTCTTTTAACCAAAAATAAGTTCAACAAAAATTTAGACTGAGTAACGGGTCATAATTTGAATATTTATATTCAATTTCATACATTTATTTTTTGAAATGTATTATTTTATATACTATAATAAGATTTTTAAACATTTTAATTTGCAACATATAAAATTAGTTTTACTTGATATTTTTCAAGAATATCATCAATATTTAAAGAATATCATCAATAAATATTCTAATTTGATTTTTGTAAACAAATATTTATAATAGGCAGTGGGTTAAATATAATATATTATATTAACAAATGAGTTATGATCCTTATAATTGTTTGAATATTTCTATTTAATTTCATATAATTCTTTTTTGAAATTCATAATTTTATATACTAAAAGAAATATTTTTAAAGATTTTAATTGGAACATTTAAAAATATAATTTAATATTTTAATGAATATCATAATTTATAAATATTTAATAGATTAAAAAGATAAAAAAAAATTATAAATACTATAATTTTCTAAAAAGATATATTTAAAATAGTTATAGTAGGCGGAAGGTTACATGTAATATATTATATGATATAAAATTATGATCCTTATAATAGAAGGCATGTTAAGATTATATGATCAGATAGATTAAATAAGGTTGACACCTCAAAATATTTGAAAATTTGATTGTGCAAGCAATTTTGGAAATAACGAATAATAGATTGTGCACGCAATATTTTCATTAGGATTCTAAAATAAAAATATAGACTCCACGCACGGGTTGAATTTGGTATATTATATACTAAATATATGTTCATAACATATTCGATTACGCGAATAATTGATAAATTCCGTAGTTACCTCAAACAAATCTCTATTTCAACAACCAAAGAATTAGAAATTGAAAAAAGAATTTTCTAAATTAATTCAAAATAATAGCTAACTATCTTAATTAATTAAAAATAATCTACGTTTTAGAAGCGATTCATTTATAATATTTTGATTTTTGATCTAACTGAATTATATGCAATCTCATTTTGTGGTTGTTAATACAAATTTACTCATTTTTCAGACTATATTAATTTATTAAAATAATTTTATTTTCCGTTTTCATATCTTTAAAAAAAATCCATAATTGAGTATAATTAAAAAAAAATATTCATTCTAATATTATATATAGGGACTGACAAAAATCTAATTATATTTTTTCAAATACTATTATAATATATCACAATTTTATTCTAAAATATATAATATATAAATTTTGTAATAAATAAAATTTAACCCGTACTGTAGTACGGGTGATGATCTAGTATGTCTATAGAAGTTGATCATTCACATTTCACACTTTCACAGAGACCGGAAAAAACGTGGATCGCGTTTTTTCTTACCGTAAAGCATAGCAGATGACATTTTTTCTTTGTACCGACAAAGTGGATGACGCATAAAGACGTGGAACATCATAGTTTTCCACAATTGATAATAATAAAATCGATGTTAACTCCATAGACTAGTAAATATTTTATCTTCAGTTTGAATTAAAATTACGTGGGAAAATACTAATCAATATTATTGGCTGATGATGACACTTTAAAGTAGTTGGAAAAATCTTGTTTACCAATGTGAACAAAGTTTTCCAAAAGATAAAGCGCAATTCATCAAATCTCAAGGGATGATGACTCAGCAACTCCCTTACCATACCACGTGTAACCCATCACCATCATCAATGATGTCACCAGCATGTTCTTCATGTCTCCACCATCGTGTGCCTAGCCTAATTTTTCTCTTTTGGGTTAAAACCAAACGGTCCAAACCTAATATTTCTTGATTAGTTGATATAATATCTCCCTATACTTAACTAAAAATAATATTTTTAAAGATATATTACTAGATAGATAGCTGTCGTTTTTTTTTTTTTTTTTTTCTTATTATACCTTTTTTTTTTTTTTTTTTTTCTTATTATACCTTATAAGTTGAAATTCACAATATAACAAATATATGCAGTTAAGAAAACGGAAATAAATTGTATCATAGTCTTGTGAAAATGGTTTTCTGAATATAAATTATCTTTATTAGTTTCATTTAGATCGATCATAGATTCATTGTCAAATCAGATAGGAAGATGAGGAGAGATACAACAAAGAGAGGAAACATTATTGTACAACTTTTTGTTTGCACTCTTTGCTTTTATCTTCTTCCTCCCATCCTAAGCAGTTGCCGATACATCATGACAACAATTACAAAACGTTTTTTTGGTAAACAAGTTCACATGATGTTGTCTTGCTCCACACACTTAAAATCTACAATCATTTTGTTGATCTGTACATACTTTTCCTTCAGTAGTAGTATACTCTTCACGAAAAGGCAGGCGTAAGATGTTGTTATCTACAAAGTGATCAAGAACACATCTTATTGATTTTTTTCAGCAGATAGAGATCAGTGGAATGGTCTTGTCTTCTTCCATAGGCTTCACTGATGGTGAATAAAGCCTCTGGACTAAAACATCTAAAGCTTCCTTCATCCACCAATCTCTACAAGCTTCTCTTGCTTCGTCAACTTTCATCCATATCCTTTGACGAAGATGTTGTTCAGGCCAAAGCTCAAGCTCTTCTTTCACAAGTAATGGGAACATTAATCCTTCATAGAATGTTCCTCTGCTTTTGCTTAAGAAATCCCATTTTCCAAGTTGTCTCTGCACCAATATCAAAACACATTATACTTTTACAAATTTAGGAGAACGATCTTATGTAAAACAATCCCAAAACGAATCAGTTTCAAATTTACCTCAACGTTTCCAACAACTCCAGCTTCTTCTAGAGATTCTCTTGATGCAGCTTCTTCTATAGATTCATCAAGCTCCCAACCACCCTGACGTTATTAAAATCAATTACAGAGTAAATTAATTAAAACCTAGAAGACTTATAAACAAATAGTTAGGATTTTATTTGTTGTTCTTGTTAGGGGTCAAAGTTAGTACCTTTGGGAACATCAGAGCGTGACCCTTCTGTGATGATATAACAAGAACTTCGAATTCGTCAGTAATTGTGCCATCGCTCGAAATTTTGAGTCTGTATGGAATACACCTGCAAATTTTAAACTTTAGAAAATCACACAAAAGTCAACTATAATGGTGAACATACAGATGAAACATACCCGACGACTTGACGGCGTCCCTTGTTGTATCTTTGGGATTGACGACCCGTACGAGAGACCAAACACACCATTTTACTAGAAAAACAGAGTTCTTGAAGAATCTGAATCTAATTTCTTGACTGTATAAAAGAAGAGCGAGATCGCGGTTTTACTTGGACGGCTAAAAGGGAAGGAGAATCTGAAGAAGTGTAACGAATGTTTTTGCAGGTTAGGAATTCGAAGTTAAGAATTGTTTGAGAGTTATAAGAAAAATGTGGATAGGAATTATGGAGTTATTATGATGGGGTGAGTGAAAAAATATTCGGGATGAGACAAAAAGCGTTGTCTTTTGCCTCCTTGTGGCTTATCCTTTTTATAGAAAAACGACATTTGTATTTTCCAAACTTTTTTTGTTAGTTCTTTTGTCGTTATTTCTTGGTATGCCCATAATGTCTGGTTTTCTTCTTCATTTTTCCATGAATGTATAAAAAAATTGATATCGGTGATGTATATACCACTATATTTTTCTTTAAGAAAAAAACGCTGACGCATATATGGGTGAAGTTAAGCAGAATTAAAGGTAAAATATTATTATTTGTAAAAATTGGTAGGCCAAATAAACTAAAGGTAAATAGAGGTACAATTATTAATTGGAGAGGGAGTCATTGCATGTAGTTTCTCTGTCGTTTCGTGGTTCAAATATACTTGATAACGAGAGAAAGGTTAATAAATCATATACTGTATGTAACTATAATATTTTAGAAACAGAATATAGATCAAAGTCGCTATCCATACGCGGCGTTAATGTTTACACTTGAGGGACGACGACGTCATGTGCGTCGACGTGAAATTTTGATCGTAATTGCTATTTTTTCATGTGCCTGCCTACGTTTGAGTCTGTGTTCATAGCCCATAGAAAAGAGACAATATATCGACATGGAACAATGGTTTTCACTAAATTAAGAAAAGTGAAATATGTTAGTTTTCTTAAACTTCACTAAATGATAAATGCTACTATTTCTAAACCTAACGGATATAAACAATCAATACTGAATCTTGGAAAAATGGATAGGTAGTTGCATAGAATATAATACACATTCACTTGTATGTGATTATATATACCTAGATGCATCAAGGTTCAACGAAGTTTAGTTATAGACGTATATGATTTGTTATTAAATGTGAAATTGTGTATTAAGGTAAGGCGGGATTACAAATTCTCATTATTATTAGTTTTCATTTTCTAGCCACTCTTTTAGAAAATTTCATCCAAAACTATTCACCAGCCCACAAGTTTATACAAGGTTTTGAGTGATAAGTTTCCCTCTAAATACGACAAATCAAGAAATATTTATCGTATGAGCGCTACCATATGTTGATATGCTAATTATTTTTTAGATATTTATATTTTATTCAAAATAATTAATTTGAAAATAATTTTGTTTGAAACGAATTGACCCGACCCGGGCAAGGCAACAAAGTTCGACCCGACTTGTTAGCCGGAAAAGAAAAGCAAATTAGTTTTTGCCGAGAAACCCTTTCCCGTATTAAACCCTTGCGACTCTCTCTTTTACTGTGAGCAGACACTTTTTGTTTTCCCTCTCCCTCTCTTCTTCTTCTCCAATCGGATTTTGAACTTCTCTTTCTTCTTCCCGCTCTCTTGGTTTTGCGAGGGAGCCAAAATCGATCTAGGGTTTTGGTTTTCTCGCTCCCAAGGACTCCACTAGGGTTCTCTGTTTCAAAATCCGCGTTTTTTGAGTTTGGATTCGTTTCAGTGTTGTTTATTCTTCCAATAAGATGTCACAAGACGATGAGATTGTGATGCGTGATGTGACGAACGCGGGACTTTGTATTGGTGACCGCATTGGCCGAGAAGCCGCATCGCAGCTCGATTTAGAAGAAGCTCTTGAAGCTTCTAGATACGCTAGTCACCCATATTCGACTCATCCCAGAGAGGTTAGCTTCAGGAACGATTCGACCTCCTTGAATTTTTTTTTTCCGGAAGCAATTAGCTCGTTTTCTTTCGATTGTTGCTATTGGGTTCTCGATTTGATGGAAAATTTTAGTTGAATCGAGGTATTGGGGGTGTCTAGATAGGGTTAGAACTTGAGGTTTTTCTTATAGGTGTTTGGTTTTGTTGCAGTGGCCGCCGTTGATTGAGGTTGGTGAGACTTGGGAATTGCCTTCTGTACTTATTGAGAGGTATAATACAGCCGGCGGGGAAGGGACAGCACTATGTGGAATTTTTCCAGAGATTCGACGGGCTTGGGCATCTGTCGACAATTCTTTGTTTCTGTGGCGTTTTGACAAAAGGTAAATTTGGCTTTTCCTTTTAGTTACAGGGGAATTTAGAAGCTTGAGATGCTTTGCTTTTGTAATTGTTCTTTGTATTGATTAATGTATGTCAATTAGGGATGGGCAGTGTCCTGAGTATAGTGGGGAGGAACAGGCAATTTGTGCGGTTGGTCTAGCGAAATGTAGACCTGGAGTTTTTGTTGAAGCTATTCAATATCTTTTGGTGCTGGCAACTCCTGTTGAGGTGACACTTTTCAATGGTCCAATCTGATCTCAACTTTCTTTAGTTTTGTGTACTGTATCTGATTTATCTTAGAAAACTTTACTTCTCGTCAGTTGGTTCTTGTTGGAGTGTGCTGCACTGAAGGACCGGATGGTAGAGATCCTTATGCTGAAATTTCAGTACAGCCTCTGCCCGACTATACAATATCATCAGATGGAGTGACAATGACATGCGTAACATGTACCAATAAAGGGCGTATTTTCATGGCTGGACGTGATGGTCATGTATATGAGCTGCTATATACAACTGGCTCAGGCTGGAATAAACGTTGCCGTAAAGTTTGTCTTACTGCAGGCGTAGGTAGTATGATCTCGAGGTACACACATTCTCTTTGTCCTTTTCTTTTATCTGTTCACTCTGCTGTTTGATTCTGGAATCTGAGATAAACCAAGCTTATAGCATTCCTTATTATATCTCTAACTCCTTATACTCGAAACAATTCCGCAATAACATATTCTTTTTGATAGTTTTTTAAACATTTATCCCCAATTCTGTTGGTTTTAGGTGGGTTGTGCCAAATGTATTCAAGTTTGGAGCTGTAGATCCTGTTGTAGAGATGGTTGTCGATAATGAAAGGCAGATTTTATATGCCCGCACTGAAGAGATGAAACTCCAAGCATATGTTTTTGGGCCAAATGGGGAAGGTCCTCTTAAGAAGGTGGCAGAAGAAAGGAATCTATTAAATCAGAAGGATGTGAGCCAAGGAAATCGTCAGTCAGCAGTGGCAGGTCGATCTAACAAGCCATCCATAGTCAGCATTTCACCATTGTCCATGCTGGAATCAAAATGGTTGCACCTTGTTGCAGCATTATCAGATGGCAGGAGGATGTATCTTTCCACCTCCTCAAGTGGAAGTGGTAGTACGATTAGCTTCAGTGGGTTCAACAACCACCGTCAGACTCCAAACTGTCTGAAAGTGGTTTCAACCAGGCCATCTCCTCCACTGGGTGTTGGTGTTGGACTTGGTTTTGGGGCCGCATCTATAGCTGGTAGAACTCAGAACGAAGACCTCTCTATGAAAATTGAAACAGCATACTATTCTGTTGGAACTCTTGTCCTTTCAGATTCATCGCCACCTGCTATGTCTTCTCTTCTTGTTGTTAGCAGAGATTCAAGCGTGCACTCTCAGGTTGGCAGCAGTTCAGGGCCAAGTTCAAGGAGTTCTCGGGCTTTACGAGAAGTTGTGTCCTCCCTTCCTATTGAAGGCCGTATGCTTTTTGTAGCAGATGTGCTCCCCTCTCCTGATACTGCTGCTACTGTTCAATCATTATATTCAGAACTAGAATACTGTGGAATCGAAGTCTCAGGAGAGTCTTATGAAAAGGCATGTGGAAAACTCTGGGCCAGAGGTGATCTTTCGACCCAGCATATTTTGCCAAGGAGAAAGATTGTTGTTTTTACCACCATGGGTATGATGGAACTTGTTTTTAATAGGCCTGTTGATATCTTGAGAAGACTTCTGGAATCCAATTCTCCAAGGTCCCTTCTAGAAGATTTTTTCACCCGCTTTGGAGCAGGCGAAGCAGCTGCCATGTGCTTGATGTTGGCTGCGCGGATAATAAATTTTGAAGATTTAATTAGTAACATTGTTGCCGATAAAGCAGCTGAGGCTTTTGAGGATCCGAGAATTGTAGGAATGCCACAATTTGATGGCAGTAGTGGATTGTCAAATACTAGAACAGCAACTGGAGGTTTCAGCATGGGTCAAGTTGTTCAAGAAGCCGAGCCCATTTTCTCAGGTGCTCACGAAGGGCTCTGCCTTTGTACATCAAGATTACTGTTTCCCCTATGGGAACTTTCTGTGATGTCTAAAAAAACCAGTTCTGACACCATGTCTGAGGAAGGAGTGGTGATTTGTCGTCTTTCTACCAGTGCTATGCATGTGCTGGAAAGCAAGATTCGATCGTTGGAGAAATTCTTAAGATCTAGAAGGAACCAAAGAAGGGGGCTTTATGGATGTGTTGCTGGGTTAGGAGATGTGACTGGCTCTATTTTGTATGGTACTGGTTCAGAGTTGGGAGCTACTGAGAGGAATATGGTTAGGAACTTGTTTGGAGCATATTCCAACGGAGGCGAGTCAGCTAATAAAAGACAGCGATTGCCATATAGTCCTGCTGAATTGGCTGCCACAGAGGTATAATTTGTTGAATTCTTAGAAATCTAGTGTGACTTTCTTCCTCTTTTATTGGTCTGTTGTGGAAGTCATTAATTAGTCTTTCCCTCCTGCAGGTGAGGGCTATGGAGTGTATTAGGCAGTTGCTTCTCAGATCTGCAGAAGCTCTTTTCCTACTCCAACTTCTTTCTCAACATCATGTTGCTAGATTAGTTCAGGAGCTTGATGCAAATCTAAAGCAAGCTTTAGTTCAGTTGACATTCCATCAGCTAGTTTGTTCTGAAGAGGGTGATCAAATTGCAACAAGGCTCATAGCTGCCGTGATGGAGGTACCAGCCTTTTATATAGCCTTAGTGTCCTCTTCCTAAATGTTTTGACTCACTAATTTAATTGTGATACTATGGTTGCCCCAGTATTATACTACCTCAGATGGCAGGGGAACAGTTGACGATATTAGCGGGAGACTACGTGAAGGTTGCCCAAGTTACTTCAAGGAGTCTGATTACAAATTCTTCTTAGCTGTTGAACGCCTTGAGAGAGCTGCTTTAATCTCAGATGCTGAAGAGAAGCAGAATGTTGCTAGAGAGGCTTTCAGTTTCTTGAGTAAGGTCCCTGGATCTGCAGATCTCCGAACTGTCTGCAAACGTTTTGAGGATTTGAGGTTAGTTTTTTAATCCAAGTAGATGTCTGCACACTTGGTTGGTTGTAGTTTGTGATCGTTGGTCAATAAACCTTTTAGTTTTGTTTTTATTTATGTGTTGAAGCTATTATTCTTAGTGGCAGTCAAAGAAAAATTAAATCATTTTAGCCTTTTAAATCGAATTTACAATTAAGGATTCACTCAAGAATAAAGTATGCCCTAAACCAACTTCATCAAGGCAAAACGGCCAGCTTAACTCAAAATCAATTATACATGATGCATATTTTGTTATCCTCTCTTTTAAGATTCTATTTGTTTGGTATTCACTCAGACTAATTTTCTACAGGTTCTATGAAGCTGTTGTCTGCTTGCCTTTGCAGAAGGCCCAAGCTCTTGATCCTGCTGGCGATGCTTTCAATGACCAACTTGATGCTTCCATAAGAGAGCATGCTCTTGCCCAGCGGAAACAATGCTATGAGATTATTGCCAATGCCTTGCGGTCTCTAGCTAGTCCCATGCTAGACGAGGCTTCACGTAGTCAAGATATATGCCAGATCGTTCATCTTGGTGTGCAATCAACTGACAGAGCGTTCCGGGAGTATCTATACAAGGCCATGATTGAACTGGGTCTTGAAAACGAGCTCCTGGAGTACGGAGGTCCGGATTTGGTACCTTTTCTCCAGAATGCTGGCAGTCATTCTGCATCACAGGTTTGCTATTTACACGTTAGCCCTTTTAAGTTATTTCCATTGTTATGGTGTCAAGATTTTCTATCGTATTTTGTCACGTAAATGAGGCATAACCTTAAACGTTCGGGGATTTCTCTACTTGTTATACTAAATAACCTCCATAGCTAAAAACTAGCAGCCTCAGTCTGCCACCAACTGTGAAACAAAAAACAAGTCAGGTTTAGTGGTAGACACTGTAACTACTTTCTAGGAATACTCACATTTGTCTCCTTATGCCATAGGTTGGTGCTGTATCTACTGGATCATCTCCGCTGGGTCACTCAGGAACACAGATTTCATCAAATCAAGCAAAATATTTTGATCTTCTTGCAAAATACTATGTGTCAAAGAGACAGCATGTGCTTGCTGCTCACGTGCTTCTAAGGCTTGCAGAGAGACGTGCTCCTAGTTCAGGGGACAATCCTACCCTTGATCAAAGGTAAACATTCTTTTATGTTGTGTGTTGAATATATCCTTAAATTAAATGTTGAATATTTCCCTAAGTCACATTACCTTGTTTCTTCTACTCTCCCTCCTTTTTCATCTCTGATGGGTTGCTGCCTTGTGAATTTAGGCGACAATACCTAAGTCACGCAGTTTTACAGGCCAAGAATGCGAGTAATAGCGATGGTTTAGTAGGTTCTGCTCAAGGTGTTTCTGACAGTGGATTGCTTGATCTGCTTGAAGGAAAACTTGCAGTTCTTCAGTTCCAAATTAAGATCAGGGACAAACTTGTAGCTATAGCTTCCAATTTCGAGTCCTCGGTTGCCATGCAGGACTCTGACCAGAATGGCGGGCCAGTACTTGATAGTGATTCTAGTGATGATTCCAGCTTAGCAAATGCAGCAAATGAAATGGCCATGGAGCTCTCCTCGGAACTTAAAAGCGTAACACAATTGTATAATGAGTATGCTGTCCCATTTGAGCTCTGGGAGGTGAGTCTAAAAATCATAAACTATCATATATATATATATATATATATATAGATTCTCGTTTGTCAATGTATTTTTGGACCATGTTTCTGGTTAACTGGTTTTCTAGAAGTAACCATAGAAAAAAAGGAGAGCCACTATTCCTCTCTAGCTGGAACTTAGCAGATATTCTGTAAATTCGTAGGTTCTATTTATACTAAACCTAACTTAAAGTTGATAATGACTGTTTTAGGTCATGCTGAGAATTGTTGCATCAGTATCCTAGTTTTAAAATTGGAAAATCATAAGATCAAACTTTTGAATTGGAAAGATTCAGCGCTATTATAGTCGACTCTCTGTGTAGGCTTTACATTGCTTGTTTGCTGTTCTGACTTCACTCTATGCAGATCTGTCTGGAAATGCTCTACTTTGCCAACTATTCTGGTGATGCTGATTCAAGTATAATAAGGGAAACATGGGCTAGACTTATTGACCAAGCTCTTTCACAAGGCGGGATAGCTGAGGCCTGTGCAGTTCTTAAGAGAGTCGGATCTCATATATACCCTGGTGATGGAGTTGTTTTACCGCTCGACGTTTTATGCCTTCACCTCGAGAAAGCTGCACTTGTAAGCTCCTCCTTCTCGTTAAGTTGTTGATTCATTTCATTGGGTTATGAACTGACTTTGAGTGCATCTTGTGGAAAATTTTACAGGAGAGATCAGAGAGGATTGAAAATGTTGGGGATGAAGTCATAGCTAAAGCTCTTCTAGCCGCTTGCAAAGGCGCAGCTGAACCTGTGCTCAACGCTTATGACCGTTTATTATCCAATGCAGCCATTGTGCCATCCCCAAATCTAAGAATCCGCCTCCTTTGTTCAGTTTTAGTGGTGCTCCGTGAATGGGCAATGTCTGTATTGTCAGACAGAATGGGCTCGAGTCCAACCAGGTCTTCTCTAATACTAGGCGGCTCGTTTGCGCTAGAGAACAAAGCTGCTCTTAACCAAGGGGTCCGTGATAAGATTGCAAACGCTGCAAACAGGCAAGTTTTATTTTGTCATATTGGTTCAATTCGATTTGTTTTTTTGCCTACTCCTAGTTTTGAAGTATATTAAAATCAAGAATCTCTGAAAACTCGACGATTTTTCTTCTTACCAACAGGTATATGACAGAGGTTAGGAGACTGGCTCTGCCACCGAACAAGACGGAGAATGTATACGCAGGTTTCAAAGAACTTGACGAGTCTCTCTTAAGTCCATTCTCCTTCTGATCCATCACTCTTATTTTTTCCTTTTTTTTAATATGCATCAATTTCACATAATAGGGTTTAGCAGCTTTCTTGTAACTTTAAATTGCTCTTTGGGGAAATTTCCCCTTCTTTAGTCTTCAAAGAGAATCAAAAATACGAAAAGAGAAAAATAATTCTGTAGTTCCTCTTAAATTTGGGGCCTTGTCTGTCAATTCTCTGTGTATTCTGTAATTTCTTTATCGAGTGTTGTTGTTGGCTAATACTTGTTATCTTTTATTTCTTCCTTCAAAGTTAGTTAATTTCTTTATCTTTATTGTATTTGCATGCTAATTTCTTACAAACTTGAAAATGATGTATCAAAAAGCTCTTTAAAGAATTCATTGGTTTAGTTCACACAATTGCACAATTGGGAGTTCTCTCTGAAATTTTTGACTTTGACTGATCGTGCTCTAGACGTTGGATTCCATTCCGAAATTTCATAGAACCAAAGGCGAATTTTCTGGCAGCTTTTGTTTCCCCTTTTTTGGTCGATCTTTATCCCCCACTCGAGGAAAACAACACCACAATAGAAAAATTAGCATCAAATTAATAGGTAGGATAAATTAGTGTGTTTACGTCAAACTTAGAAATTATATTCACGGGTAGGATAAATTAGTTTTGGTTGTTTCTACATGTAAACTTAATGAAGATTTCTGCGTGTTGCAGATAACATTTTCTTTTGTGGGATGTGTGTGTTACAGTTTGAATCGTCTATCAGAAAGTAGTTAAATTTTGGAACCGTGAATTGCTTGCTATTAAAATCTTAAATGAAATGAGTTTAGATGAATAATGTAATACAATTAAAACTAAGATAATGTAAATAAAACAGCTCAAAATTTGAGATTAGTTGGTTTGACCGTGGTCCGGACTTGGGACATGTTCGGCTCATTAAAGTTCAAAGATTCTTGTCTCCTCTTACATTGATTTCTTCACTATAGTAGTATCTTCAAGAAATGAAATATACTCAAAATCAACGAAAATTAAACTTCCATATCACCCCCTTTTCAAAAATAATCTATACAAATGTATATGCATTGATGAAAAAAAAAGAAGAGGAAAATAACATGAATGTACATATACATACATACAAAAATTAATCTGAAATTTGATAGTATAAAAGAAATCAGATTAGAAGTTGTGTCATTCATTTTAGAATAAGGAGACATGGTCTCTAGTGATTTTACATTTGTCGTACATGTTTGGACAAAATGGGATGGTCCCTAATAATTTGACAACACATACAATAAATACAGATGGTCCCTAATTCCTTCAATGTAAATTAACCATATTTCTACGATCACCAGTGTTATGATAATTTCTTTTGGACAAGAATGTACAATTTGATTGCTATTTCTTATAAGCCAATTTCTCCTTATTTTATGCAAAAGAAATTACTAATGAAGTAGTAGTTCTAAAATCATTTTTAACTCTCTAATCTCAATTATTATGAGTCCTAAATCAAAGACGAGCACACAATTAAACAGTAATTAAGAGTGACGCTAATCAATATCTCTGTCTCTAATCTCTATCGTTGTCACTCTTTAACAATCATACCCTTAAACCTCATTTAAATCTCTCTCTCTCTTTCTCTCTGCAAAACTAAAAAACAAAAGTGTTCTCTTCTCTTAAGCGATTTCAAGCCCTAGCATTCGATGAGCTTGGGCTTATGTGTGTCTATATAGTTGATTTTTGTTGGAACTTAGAACTTTAGCATTTAGTTCAATTTGGAATTTGGAATTGTGGTGAGGATTGAGATCGGAAAAAATGGAGGAAAGAGGATTTATGTCACCTTCATTGGCCATATCGGCGTCGTATCGAGAAGGAGGAAGCAAGGGCATGTCACGACGGAGGTCAATGAGACCAAGCTTTGACGCGGATAACGAGTTCATGAACCTTCTACATGGCTCAGATCCCGTGAGAATTGAGTTAAATCGGCTGGAGAATGAAGTCAGAGGTAAAAGAATGTGATTTTGTTGATGATTGATTATGGAATTTGAAATTGGTTTTGGATTAGGACGACTTTTGTTTAAGCAACGTGCATGCTTGTTTTTGAAACATTGACTTGGTTTATACAGATAAGGATAGGGAATTATCTGAAGGACAAGCTGAAATCAAAGCTTTGAGGTTGTCTGAACGACAAAGAGAGAAGGCTGTCGAAGAGGTTTAAGCCCTTATACTTTTAAGCTTCCATTGGATAAACAAAGTATTGAACTTGAGTCGCATTGTGTGTGATATTCCTATTTATAGAAGATGGACTAGTCATGTAACTTGGTTATTTGGAATTAGTTACTTCAGTTTGATTTGGTTATTGCTACAACCATCCTAAGATTATGTCCGCGCATTTTATTATGTTTTTATGTCTTTACACTCTCTGTGTACTGACCTCTTTGCTGTTTGACTTGAGTGTTGAAGCTCACTGAAGAGTTGGGAAAGATGGCGGAAAAACTCAAACTGATTGAAAATCTTCTTGAGAGTAAAGTATGCTTGTAATATCTCTCCTTTGTTCTTTGATTCCTTTTTTTTTTCTCGTGATTCTGTATGTGAGAATGTTGTATGTTGTCACAGAACCTTGAAATCAAGAAGATAAATGAAGAAAAGAAGGCTTCCATGGCAGCTCAGTTTGCAGCAGAAGCTTCTCTTCGTAGGGTTCATGCTGCTCAAAAGGATGATGATATGCCTCCAATTGAAGCTATTCTTGCCCCTTTAGAAGCTGAACTGAAACTTGCGAGACTAGAAGTATTTTCCTTCCTTTGAACCAGATATATCTTTGTATAGCTTGATTTCAACAACTTTTGGGACATTTAACAGCTTTCTCATTTGGTTTCACATGTTTTGATTGGTAGATTGCTAAACTTCAAGACGACAATAAATCTTTGGACCGCCTAACCAAATCAAAGGAAGCAGCTTTGCTTGACGCTGAAAGGACAGTTCAGTCTGCATTGGCAAAGGCTTCAATGGTTGATGATCTCCAGAATAAGAACCAAGAATTGATGAAACAGATTGAAATTTGTCAGGTATGTCTATCATTTCTTTTACACATTGAAGCACCAAACAGAGTATCTCTTTCCTTTCTGACCATGTGGTGCCTTATTTGTTAATACATTGGTTAAAATAGGAAGAAAATAGAATTATAGACAAGATGCACAGACAGAAGGTTGCAGAAGTTGAAAAGCTTATGCAGAGTGTGCGAGAGTTAGAAGAAGCTGTTCTTGCTGGTGGTGCAGCCGCAAATGCAGTGAGAGATTACCAGAGGAAATTTCAAGAAATGAATGTATATTTCGTATGCTCTATAGTGCCTCAGTAACTTACTGTTTTTCTTGTTAGTTAGTGTTTTGGTCTCTTACTGATCGTAATTGTGGTGTTTTGTCTTTTCCTTAGGAAGAGAGAAAAATTCTTGAACGGGAATTGGCCCGTGCAAAGGTAAATGCAAACAGAGTTGCTACTGTTGTAGCAAACGAATGGAAAGATTCTAATGACAAAGTGATGCCTGTAAGGCAGTGGCTTGAAGAACGTCGATTTCTGCAGGTAATTGTTGATATATATATAAATATATAATATTTAAATTCTCATGCTGCTTCAAGTTGTGATTCATATTCACGGAGATTAACTGAAACTACTGCCATCGTCGTTCTGTTTGGACAGGGAGAAATGCAACAACTACGCGACAAACTTGCCATAGCTGACCGAGCTGCAAAATCTGAAGCTCAGCTGAAGGTAGAATCATAGCTGTGGGACATTGTTAACCATCTTTTTTTATGGCCTAACTTAGGAATTGCTGATTTTACTTATTTTAGGAGAAATTTCTACTGCGGCTTAGAGTGTTAGAAGAGAGTTTAAAGGGGCCTGCAAGCAACAGCAGCAGAGGCACATCCGTTGGTAGAAGTTCGAGCAACGGGCCTTCTCGAAGACAATCCCTTGGTGGAGCTGAAACAAGTCCAAAAATTACATCAAATGGCTCGTTGATTAAGAGAACACCAAGTTCTCAGTTTAGATCATTGACTGCTAGTGCAAGCACTGTATTGAAGCATGCGAAAGGAACATCAAGATCATTTGATGGGGGGACCCGATCATTGGATAGAAGCAAAGTGCTAATAAATGGACCGAGATCAAATTTTCCTTTGAATCACCAGTCTTCTGAAGGAACTAGCAGAGGCGAGACGCCTAGCTCAATAAAAGGGAAAGAAGAATCAGATGACAAGTCAACAAATAATGATAGCGTCCCAGGTGTCTTGTACGATTTGCTGCAGAAAGAGGTCATAACATTAAGAAAAGCTGCGCATGAAAAAGATCAGAGCCTGAGAGACAAGGACGAAGCTATTGAGGTTTGCTATTGCTTGGCCTTTTTTCTGTTCTTTGCAGCCTTTAAATGAATGTTCTATTATACAGTCTAAAGATTTGGTTTTTGTATATATAGATGTTGGCCAAGAAGGTTGAAACATTGACAAAAGCGATGGACGTTGAGGCAAAGAAGATGCGAAGAGAAGTAGCTGTAATGGGGAAAGAAGTTGCTGCAATGCGTGTTGATAAAGGACAACAAGATAGTAAGACCAGACGTCTCTCGGTCTCAAAGGGAAACACTGCTCAACTGCTTTCTGGAAGGTATCATTATATCAACTACAATGCGCTTTATCTAGTATGACCTTCAAATGTCATTATTGTTTACGCATTTTATCTTTTGTAGAGTGTCTGGACGAATTGGGATGACGAGGAGCACACAGTGACAAACTGATTCGATCAATCACTGGTTGATCTCTGTGGCTTGCCTTTAATGGTTCTTGTGTCAAATTGAGAGAAGGGATTCAAAAGCTGAAAGAGATGTAAAGAACCAGATTGATTCGATGTGTGCTTCTTCTCTAAGGCATTCCAACATTCAAGGTAAAGGGAGAAATTGACTTCACTTGGCTGATATATTTCTTACTTTGTTATGTATAGTAGTAGTAGTAGAGGTAGGATTATGTTTTGTTTAACATTTTAAGCTTTTACTTTTGTGTGTGTCACTCTCTCCTCTTAGTTAATATTCTTGTTAACCTAACCCGGTTTAACTCATTTTTCTGTCGATTATTTTGGCAGCCTAATTTTTTGTTTTTAAGAACTGGTCGAACCCAAAAAATCTGAAAAAAAGAGAGTAGAGTTAATGAACATACCCACATGAGACTATAAGAACATAACCATCACTAAGAAGGATGTTTACAGCATTTGTAATCAGACTTTATCGAAAAGAAAAAAAAATGTAATCAGTAATCTTAATGATAATTAGTAACTAGTAAGTTTGAGTTAAAAAAAAATAAAAGAACATAACCACATGATTGAACCGGCTCCGTATCATTGACCGGTACGCGTTTCGCGACGTGGGATTTGATATATTTTCACTTTCGGCCCAAAAGTATTATATATTTGAATAAGTAGTCCTACTTTTTTGGTTTGAAATTGTTTTTCCCATTACCGTTCTCTGCTCCATTGGGTGCTTTCCTCTTTTCTCCCAGATTCATCAATCTCTGCTACCGCCGCGAGAGAGTCAAAACTCACCGGACGTTTCAAATCCATCATCCGATTATTCGTTAGATCTAGATCTGAGCTTCGGTGAGAGATTTTCTGGATCTGTGATACGTTCCAGGAAACATGGCGACGATGAAAAGTTTGATAGGTCTGATCAACAAAATCCAGAGGGCTTGTACTGTCCTCGGAGATCATGGCGGTGAAGGAATGTCGCTTTGGGAAGCTCTCCCAACCGTCGCTGTTGTTGGTGGCCAGGTTTGATCCCTTTCTATTGAATATACACATTTCTACGTTAAGATCCGATCTCACTTCTCGCCTCTTTAATCTCTACGTTTCTGATTTTATCATTTTGTTTGGTTGATTTTTTGGATCAGAGTTCTGGAAAATCTTCAGTTCTAGAAAGTGTTGTGGGAAGAGATTTTCTGCCTCGAGGATCTGGTAATTTTACCTCTCTTTAAGCAATTTTGTCTAGCTTCTCCGATGTTTGGATTTGAAACTAGGTTTTCGGAAATTTTCGTGCTCTTATTTGTTGCTTCGATTTGAAATAATTTAGCGAAGCTGTGTGATCTTGAGAGCATTACATGAACATTTTTACTACCATTTGATTTATCAGGTATCGTTACTAGGAGGCCATTGGTATTGCAGCTTCATAAGACTGAAGAAGGGACAACTGAGTACGCTGAGTTTCTTCATGCTCCTAAAAAGAGATTTGCTGATTTTGGTAGGTTCATTGAATCTTTCACGCTAATTGCTGGAAACAATGAAATCCATAAAGGCATGTCGGGATAATTAACTGTTCTTCTCTTTCCAGCTGCTGTGCGCAAGGAAATTGAGGATGAAACTGATCGTATTACTGGGAAATCAAAACAAATCTCAAACATTCCAATTCAGCTGAGCATATATTCTCCTAATGGTTTGTGCTTAAGACCACATTTCATGCAATGCATTCCTATTGTAGTTAGTTCAGAAACCAACACAGTAAATTTTCTATATTATTGATACCAGCTGTAATGAGCTAAAGAGTATTACGATTAGATTTGAAGAATCCAATTTTGCTAACCTCTTTTATGTGACTTTGATCACTTTACTCTTTTCTCTACAGTTGTTAATCTGACGCTCATAGATCTTCCGGGTTTGACAAAGGTTGCTGTAGGTAAGAGATTAATATTTCTTTCATCCAGTAGCTTGTGCTTGAACTAGTCACTGATATGAATATTATTCTTGTAGAGGGACAACCGGATAGTATTGTCCAAGACATTGAAAATATGGTCCGCTCTTATGTTGAAAAGGTCAGTCTTGCTCTAAGCTATTACTGAGACGGTTTCAGCAATATTTTCATCTTTTCCAACCAAGTTGAACAGAAGAATGCATTTGATCATCATCGCTCACTATAATATCAATTGTTTTAACTGCAGCCAAATTGCATCATATTGGCTATTTCTCCAGCAAATCAAGATATTGCTACCTCGGACGCTATAAAACTTGCTAGAGAAGTTGATCCTACAGGTACGATCTAAATGTAGTTTCCTAGTAACTGGTAAGTAGTGACTATTCACACTCCACAACATTTTTTTAACCTTCTAATATATTTCTGTAGGCGAAAGGACTTTTGGAGTTGCAACCAAGCTTGATATCATGGATAAAGGAACAGATTGTCTAGATGTAAGCGTTTTTCTTGATTTCTGCACCTTGGGGTGTCAACTAATTCAGTTACTTGTTTAATATACTTTGACAACTCCTCTACCTATCTGATGAAGGTTCTTGAGGGAAGGTCGTACCGTTTGCAACATCCCTGGGTTGGAATTGTGAATCGTTCACAAGCTGATATTAATAAGAGGGTCGATATGATTGCTGCACGTAGAAAAGAGCGAGAATATTTTGAAACAAGCCCTGAATACGGGCACTTAGCCAGTAGAATGGGATCAGAATATCTAGCAAAACTCTTGTCTCAGGTACCTGTTGGATTTACTTGCACAGATTTCATTTAAATTAAAGCTTGAATGCTTAGCTTTGACTTTCTCCCTTGTTTTCCTCTTTACTAGCACTTAGAGACTGTTATCAGGCAGAAAATACCCAGTATCGTTGCTTTGATCAACAAAAGCATCGATGAGATAAATGCAGAGCTGGATAGGATTGGGAGACCCATTGCAGTAGATTCAGGAGTAAGATTTTAAATCATTAAGTAATTGGTATTCAGAGTTGCATCAAAATCATATGGTTAGTCACTCTCTAAATATATGATTCCAGGCCCAACTTTACACAATTTTGGAACTCTGCCGGGCATTTGATCGTGTCTTTAAGGAGCACTTGGATGGAGGGTAAGCGATTTAGTTATTCTGCTTCTTATTCGTAAAGCTTATAACTTGTTGTCGGTGTACTATTACATTGCGATTGTGATGATCAATTTGGAGTCTATGAAATTTTTTAAAGATAGTGGCGTTTCCAGAATAATGTGCTTACCTTCTAGTCAGTTTTCAGACGAAGGATGTGCAGTTTTAGTAAAAAATTTACATCAATGACCTTTTCATAGATGTTTGCCAGAAAATGCTTCACATAATTTCACAATGTATGTCCGGTAAAGTTGGTCTTCTTAGATTTATTATGTTGTTTGTATCAGACGACCTGGTGGAGACCGGATTTATGGAGTTTTTGACCATCAATTACCAGCAGCCTTAAAGAAACTTCCCTTTGATCGACATCTCTCTACCAAAAATGTTCAGAAGGTTGTTTCAGAAGCTGATGGTTATCAGCCGCATCTTATTGCTCCTGAACAAGGATACAGAAGGCTCATTGATGGATCCATAAGCTATTTTAAAGGACCAGCTGAAGCCACTGTCGATGCAGTATGGTTCCAAAATTTATTAGATTCCATTACTTTTGAGACTTAATTTCAGTAAGTTGACTATATTTTTGATTGCTGTTTGATATTTCCTAGGTGCATTTCGTATTGAAGGAGCTGGTCAGAAAGTCCATTTCAGAAACAGAGGTAAGAACTGAGAAGAAGCCTTTGGTTTTTAGAATTCCTCTTAGCTCTTTATGTGCTGTTTTAGTCCTAAAATGCCATTGATGTTTTTTTTTTTATCAGGAACTGAAGCGATTCCCGACTCTAGCAAGCGACATAGCAGCTGCTGCAAATGAAGCTCTCGAAAGATTCAGAGACGAAAGCAGGAAAACAGTTCTACGTCTGGTGGATATGGAATCCAGCTACCTCACGGTTGAGTTCTTCAGGAAACTGCATCTTGAACCCGAGAAAGAGAAACCAAACCCAAGGAATGCCCCAGCACCAAACGCAGACCCCTACTCCGATAATCACTTCAGAAAGATCGGTACGTGTCTCTCGCCTCCCTTTACTTATGAATGACACAGTATCAAGTCTTTGTTTGTTGACTTTGGATAACTCAGGATCCAACGTGAGTGCATACATAAACATGGTCTGCGACACATTGAGAAACTCACTTCCCAAAGCTGTCGTTTACTGCCAAGTTAGAGAAGCTAAGAGATCGCTTCTCAACTTCTTCTACGCTCAAGTTGGCAGGAAAGAGGTAAACTTGTATATTGTTACCCTTTGGAATATCGGGTTCTTGAGAGAAAATACCCAAATCGAGAATAATTTTAATAAAAAATAATGCAGAAGGAGAAGCTGGGTGCGATGTTGGACGAAGACCCACAGCTGATGGAACGAAGAGGAACCTTAGCGAAACGGCTCGAGCTTTACAAACAAGCTAGAGATGACATCGATGCTGTGGCTTGGAAGTAAGGGGGTTTGCTAAGAAATATTCTTTATATTGTTAATTTCTTTGTTCGTGTGGGAGACTGCATTATAATAGATATGTTGGGAGTTCTAACTTCCAATCCACACAAACACACACGCGATTACTTGTGTTTTCTTCAGGTCGCTAATTGCTATCACAACTTTCCCACTTTTTTGGTGTGTATCTTCGATTCTTGGATACTGGTTTTAGAACAGTTGAGACATATATTGAAGTCGTATTCTTTACATTAGAAAAAAGGGATGCAACTAATGAACATATGGAAGAATGTGACATGTGAGGTTTATTAAATTGGTCTCCACTTGTACCATTATTCAATAGCCGACAAAGAAGCTAATCTTTCTTGAAAATCCAGTTTATATCTTCTGTCACGAACAATAAAAATCGTTAGAAGTAAATCTTTAATACTTCATTAAGAAGAAGCAGTTAAAGTATACCCGTTAGCAAGCCTGTTTCACATGGTTCATCAGAAAAATGATTAAAAGAGCTTTAAGTAAGCCTTAAGATTCGGGATTTAGGAGTTAAAAGCCATGTAATCATCACATTCACAGCTCTGTTTTAAATCGTCAAAGTAGTAAAAACTAAAGTCAAAGAGAGAGCCTCAACTTCCAGCTGCCCATTTATTGCAGCGAAATTGGGGAAAGGTTTCTTTCTTCTATCCACTTACCGTAGAAACAAGTGCCAAGTATTTTGTCTTCCTGTTGGCTTCTGGGACTCTGTCAACATCAAAGCTCTTTACTTTTTCAACTGACTCTATCGTGCGTCTGTACGGACCACAAAGGCTCTCTCTTTATTTCTCTGTGAGTTTTTAGGATCTAAGAGGAAGAGTCGAAAGATCATGGAGGAAAGCCAAGAACTTGCCTTGACCCAGTTGAGAAAATCGGTCGAGAAACTCTCTTCTTCCATTGAGGTAATCAAATTCGACGTTTGTAGTTTCATTACAAATTTACAAAGCTTGTATCTTTTGGCCGTATCATGAGTTTCACTGTCAATGTCTCGTTAGAAAATGAGAAAAAGATCTGTCATTTGATTTTTATGAGCTACACTGTTAAAACTCTATCTCATCCTCGTTATAGTAGTTCGTCTGATTAGCTGGGTTTGAGCTTCCCATCAGAAACCCTAACAGTAGAACAGTTTAGTAAAAAGTCATTCATCATAATCAGAAAATCTCATCCATGGGGTTTTTTTTTTTTTGTGGTTGTTTCCTCTGAAAAGGGATATGAAAAACCGACATTGATGAGGTTCCTGGTGGCAAGATCAATGGACCCAGACAAGGCAGCAAAGATGTTTGTAGATTGGCAAAAGTGGAGAGCCTCCATGATTCCTCCAACTGGATTCATCCCTGAGTCAGAAGTGAAGGATGAATTGGAATTCAGAAAGGTCTGTCTTCAGGGTCCAACCAAATCCGGACACCCTTTGGTGATTGTCATAACCTCTAAGCATTTTGCTTCTAAGGATCCAACTAACTTCAAGAGTAATCACCTCTCACTTGTTTCTGACCTTGACTTTCAGTGGATAGAATATGTTCCTTAGCTTTCAGTGACTTTTTGTATTCATAGAACTACTCAGCTTCTTTCCTGGTTCTCTGGTTATTAAGTAGTTTCATATAAATACTGGTGATTCAGTTGACTTCAGATGCATGAAGTTTTTTGAATCCATATTATGTGTTTTCCTTGAGTTGATTCTTGATATAAGTATCTATGAACTAATCTTTTATGTGTTTGGTGTTGCAGAGTTCGTTGTTTATGTGCTAGACAAAACAATCGCAAGGTGTTTACACATCATCAAATCCAAAACACTTCAGTAATCTTCTGGTTAGTCGGTTCTATTACAAGCTTTTTGGTTTTCATGTTTCAGTGGAAACAATGGCAAAGAAGTTGGAGGTGAGAAATTAGTAGCCGTTATTGATCTGGCAAACATTACATACAAGAACCTTGATGCTCGTGGATTGATCACTGGCTTTCAATTCTTACAAGTAAGCTCTCCTCTTTTTCTGAAACAATGTAGATCACACAAAAAAAAAGGTCCTATCTTTTAAATTTTGAACATGTTTCTCTAGTCTTACTACCCGGAACGCCTTGCAAAATGCTACATCTTGCATATGCCCGGATTCTTCGTGACCGTTTGGAAATTCGTCTGCCGTTTTCTAGAGAAAGCAACTCAGGAAAAGGTTTGATCTTTAACCCTCTCTTGATATATCTTAGCTCAACATGTTTTTAAGCAATCTCAAGCACATTCTTCTTTGTTTTGTTGTTGTATAGATTGTGATAGTAACGGACGGAGAAGAACTGAAAAAATTCGAGGAGGAGATCGGAGCAGAAGCTTTACCGGAAGAGTACGGTGGCCGAGCTAAGCTCACAGCAATTCAAGATGTTCTTCTTCCTCAGTCTGCTCCAGTAACTCTAACAAACAATAATGTCTGACTCTTTAACTTTTGGAAGCATTAACCTGAAAACCCTAAACCCTGCTTTAATCTATTTGACTATTATTATTTTATTTTCCTACTGCTTTAATATTTTATTCTGTAATGGTCATAAGTCATAACAAATCAACAAAACTTGTGTTACATCTTTAAATTTCCAAAAGAAGCTATGAAAACATGAGAAACTTGTGCGAATATATTCAATCTGGTCACTGAGTGGTCGCTTTTGCTTCATCTTTTCCAATTCACATCAAAAGTAAAACACATTGAATGAGGATGGAACATGGTTGATAACTTGATATCTATCTATTCGCTCAGGAATCGATCATCAGAACCAGACTAACATCTAGAGACTTAATGTCCTCTTGTTGTACTTGTAAGATTCCAAAGTTAGCTATGTCCTTCAGCTAAAAACCAGAATCAGGATCTCTTAAATGAAATGATTGACAAAATATGACCCCTAAGCCAACTATATATGACAAAGGACTGTTCAACAACTTTATATTTCCAAAAGAAGAAATGAGACTAAACATGAGAAAGTTGTGTGAATATACTCAGGAAAAACGGCTTTTTCACCCCTAAACTAACTTTCTTTGGCTTATTCATCCCCCGAACTTTGTATTGTGCCAAAAACCTCATGAACTATTCTATATTTTGAATTACCTACCTGAACAAAACAAATTAGGAATAATTACACAAATCGCTAAACGCTGTTAGTCTTCTGTTAATGACAAGCTGACTAGGATGCCACATCATCAAGCAAAAACGACGTCGTTTAATACATCTTGCCCAACAAAAAAAAATGACGTTTTTTTACAAATTGAATTGTAGATTATCAAAATTTGATCAGACCTGTTCAAGCAAAAAATATAATCTCTTACAAAACATCATATTGATTCCAAAATGCATAATCAAATAGAATCCAAACTTTAATCCAAAATTACATCATAATCTGAGTTTTACATCCAAAAATAAATCAAAATCCCAGATTTCATAAACTAAAACACCATTAATCCTTCATTCCCTGCAACAACAAGGAATACAAATTCAGACCTTAAACATATGAAATGAATACACAAACAGAGCATAAAATTAATACGCAAACCTGACATGTTAGTCAATGACTTGGCTTTGAGTTGGTTGACTTGGTCCTTCACATCCATCTTCCGTGGTCTTCCCTTTGCCTTTCTTTGGAGGTATAACTCCAACATTTTTGCAGCTCCTTGTGTTATGCCCAGCTTCACCACAACTTCCACAATGAATGATCCTTTTCTCTCTTGAAACTTTAATCTCATTAGCACTTACACATCTATATGTGCTTATCAGACTTCCATATTCATGGATTTTTTTTAAACAAATCGTGAGCTTGGTCTGTTAATGCAATCAAGAACCGAAGAGATAGAGAGATTGGAAAAGAACAGACAAGAGGCACACAAGCAAAGACGAGAGGTAGACAAGCAAAACCAAACTTTCCAACGAAGCCATTCAAAATCCAAATCGAAAATGCACTCGACTAACCCAGAATTCGAGCGCTTACCTCATTGAGCTCTGCAATTACTCCTCCGCCAGAGCTGATTACACAACCACCAAGCTCGAATCTCTTTGATATACGTTCTTCTGTCTCCCTCTCGCTCTCTCAAATCCGACACTTGATGTCGAACCCTAAACTAAAAAAAATCTCCAACCCTTATTCCTCTTTTCGATCGACTTTTGATTCACTCTTTGTCCCTCTCAAACCCAAAGCAAAGTATCTCCAATTGAAATTCGATGAACCCTAAACTAATAATATCCCCAAATCGATTTGCAAGGAAGACAAAGAAATGTTGGTGATGTCGTGTTATTTTGGTGTGTAAAACTTTGGATTAAAACGCGGTCGTTTAGAAAAATGACGTGGCATCCTCACATGTCATTTTGATTAAAACACGGTCATTTAGAAAAATGACGTGGCATCCTAGTCAACTCTGACGTAACGGAACAGTAACGGTGTAACACGATTTGTAGATTTAGTCCATAAATGTTTTGTTCGTGGAGATAATTCAAACTTTAGCTTAGTTTATGTGGGTTTCGGCACAACACAAACTTAAAGGGATGAATACGCCAAAGTAAGTTAGTTTAGGGAGGAATAAGCCGTTTTCCCAATATACTCAATCTGGTGAATGAGCAGCTTCAAACATCATGCCGTTTCTGTTTATGAAATTAAAAAATCCTGCTGTTTTGACTTTTGAAGATGTTGGTTAATTCACTTACACTCTTTAAAGTCCCAAACTTTTTCTATCAGCCGCCTCCAAAATCTCTCTATCTCTCTCACTTCAACTTCCTCACGACGGCGACAATGGCGACGTTCACTCATCAAACTCCACAAACCCATTTCCTCTCTCGCCTTCCTCTCAGAGCTAAACCCAGACACTTCTCCACAAGAGTCAAAATGTCTCTCCAAGAATCTGCTCCTTCACTCGCCGTCGTTGGCGTTACCGGAGCCGTGGGACAAGAATTCCTCTCCGTGTTATCCGATCGAGACTTCCCTTATAGCTCCGTCAAGATGCTTGCATCGAAACGCTCCGCAGGGAAACGTGTTGCCTTCGATGGCCGTGAATACACGGTGGAGGAGCTCACGGCGGAGAGCTTCGACGGTGTAGACATTGCTTTGTTCAGTGCTGGTGGATCCATAAGCAAGGAGTTTGGTCCTCTCGCGGCGGAGAAAGGAACCATTGTTGTTGACAATAGCTCGGCTTTTAGAATGGTTGATGGAGTTCCGCTTGTGATTCCTGAAGTGAATCCAGAAGCAATGAAAGGGATTAAAGTTGGAATGGGCAAAGGAGCTTTGATTGCAAACCCTAATTGCTCAACCATTATCTGTTTGATGGCTGTTACTCCTCTTCATCATCACGCAAAGGTTCGATTTTTATTCTGATGTCTTAGTCCAAATTTGAAGGGTAGTTAGAGAATCAATGGAAACCATGAAAGCTTTAGACTTTTGTGCTCTGAATAATGTTTGATTGGTTATAATAATAGGTGAAGAGAATGGTGGTAAGTACATATCAAGCAGCTAGTGGTGCTGGTGCTGCAGCTATGGAAGAGCTTATTCAGCAGACTCGTGAGGTTTTGTTTCTATTTCAGCCTTCTTTGATTGAATTGTTTAATGATTGTGCTCAGTAGTGATTCTGCTTGTTGGCTTACTTTGCATTGGTGTGTTTTCTTAGGTTTTAGAGGGTAAACCTCCGACTTGTAACATCTTCGGGCAGCAGGTGATTGCTCAATTTGCTTATGGTTTGTTTCGAATGTGTTGACTGTTGATCTTGAATCCCTTTTTGAGTAATTTGATGGTTTTTATGTTTTGTGCAGTATGCATTTAACTTATTTTCGCATAATGCCCCTATTCTTGACAATGGTTACAATGAAGAGGAAATGAAACTTGTGAAGGAGACTAGGAAGATCTGGGTGAGTGGGTTACTTAAAGTGCTACTTTGTGATCTTTTGTTCAAAATTTTGGTTGTGTTAGAGTTCTCACACCATTTTCTTTCCCTTCACAGAATGACACAGAAGTGAAAGTAACAGCTACGTGTATACGTGTTCCAGTTATGCGTGCTCATGCAGAGAGTGTGAATCTTCAGTTTGAGAATCCTCTTGATGAGGTAATAACACACATCGAACCCGATTTTTCTACTGATTCTGTTTTGTTGTGTTACCTAATGATTTCACTCATTGATATGTCGATTTGAATCATGATTTAAAGTTTTAAACCACATTCTATGGTCAATTTAATTCCACCCGTAGAAAAATGTGGAGCTGTATGTAATCAGCATAAGTAGGTTTTGATAGTTCTTGTTGCAATTGCCGAGTTAAACTCTGAAGTTGTTGTTTGGACTTGGTCTGCTAGCATGTATTGTGATTCTTCTTGCGCGATTAAAAGAGTCTTATGATCAAGTTCTTATTCAGGTAATAGCGGTTTTTCTGACTGTTTTTTTAACAGAACACAGCAAGGGAGATCCTGAAGAAAGCACCTGGAGTTTATATAATAGACGACCGTGCTTCAAATACTTTCCCTACTCCACTAGATGTCTCTAACAAAGACGATGTAGCGGTTGGTAGGATAAGGCGAGACGTGTCTCAAGATGGCAATTTCGGGTAAAAGTCTCACTCTTTTCTATTGAATTTGAAGCAAATGAGTTTTTGTTTTCCATTTGGTTAAAAGGAATATAACTTGGTGAATTCAGGCTGGACATATTCGTTTGCGGAGACCAAATACGGAAAGGAGCTGCTCTGAATGCTGTTCAGATTGCAGAGATGCTTCTCTGAATTTGAACCCCCCCCCCCCCTCTCACTTTGCTTCTTATGAAATTCTTGACAAAGAGAGATCACTGTATTATCAGATTTGAGACAAGAATTTGTCTCATTTTTCTATTTGACCAATTTTGTTACTTTCTTCATTGACTCATCCCGACGCTTGAACCTCTTGGCAATTTGCCGGTTCGAATCTGTACCGACTTGGTTTAATGGAAGAAGCTTTATAATAATAGGAATGGTCACAGAGGATCTCACCGAAGAGAACCACTGAAGTATTGGTGTCCCACATTGTCTTTCCTTTTCACTTTGATGATAAGATAGTACGATTGCAAATATATTTACTTGTTTAAAAATAAGTCCTTAGTTACTAAGATTTGCATATTTTTCGTTTCCATGAAAATATAACAACCGATAATATCTCTACTTCCTTTTTTAAAGGTCGCTTTAGTCTTTAATAATAATAATACGCCAATGAGAGAGCTCTTTCCACCGTCCGATTAAACTCTGTTATATTGACGTCAGCAATCGGACGTAAGCAGGTCGGAGTTAACTTGCTACGCGAAACAGAGGATACAAGCTCGGCCAATAAGAAACCTGAGAAGACTTTGGTCTTTGGTGGACTTGGGTCTTTTCTTCTCTTTTTCTTTCGATAATTATTGTACTTGGGTCTTTGTTCCCAGTGTAAATGAAAGTGAGAATCCAAAGGCCATCAGAGGGAAGATCGATCAGTCATCGCCGCGGTAAGTCATCTGTCATCGTATATCTTTAAGCACCTCTGTTTCTACTTTCGTTAGTTCGTGTTCTTGTTTGAGTAGTAGTGTGATCTTAAGATTCTTCAAAAAAAATTTGTTTAGGTTGATAGAAGAAAATTTTATAGAGAAGATGGGGAAGACAATTCAAGTGTTTGGATTCCCGAATGGTGTGAGCGCAGAGGAAGTTAAGAAATTTCTTGAAAGACTCACTGGTTCAGGCACTGTTTACGCAATCAAAGTTAGACAACCAAAGAAAGGTGGTCCAAGAGTCTTTGCCATTGTTCAATTCACAAATGAGAGATATGCGAGTCAGATCATCATGGGTGCCGCAGAACGTCGTCTTTATTATGGGAGATCTTATCTCAATGCTTTTGAAGTGGAACAAGACATTGTTCCAAAGCCAAGAGCTTCATTGCACAACATCTCTGGTTTAAAGATGTATTTTGGATGTCAAGTCTCAACTCAGAAGCTTTTAACTCTCTGGAGTGCTCAAGATGTTTCTGTCTCCTTTGGAATTGGGATGAGGAAACTGCATTTTTCCTTTTCTTGGTATCAAAAGGACTATCGTCTTGAGCTTTCGTATGAGAATATATGGCAGATCGATTTGCATTCCCCGCAAGGACGGTCGTCGAAGTTTCTCGTGATTCAGGTGATTGGTGCTCCTAAAATCTTTGAGAAAGAGGATCAACCTATCAATCTTTTGTTTGGAATGATGGATTTTTACAGTGATGGGTCTGATGAGCAATGGATTAGAACTACAGATTTCACTTCATCTTCTTGTATCGGTCAATCAACAGCCTTCTGTTTAGAGCTTCCTGTTCATCTTAATGTTCCTGATTTCAGAGAGAATTTTGCCAACTATGCAGAGCACAGAGCCAGCCCTTTTCTCATTGAATCCGGTTCTAGCTATTCATCTAATGCGAACAAGCTCGTTCCGGTTGTTGATCCTCCTCCAGGGTTTGATTTGCCTTTTGAGATCTTGTTTAAACTTAATACATTGGTGCAGAACGCGTGTCTCCCCGGGCCAGCTCTTGATCTTGATGTTTATCAGTTGCTTAATCCCAAAAAAATTGACAGAGCTCTCATAGATCACTGTCTTGAAAAACTCTTTTACCTTGGGGAATCTTGCTATGAGCCTGCTCGTTGGCTTCGCAAACAGTACAAGGAGTTGAGCTCGAAAGGAAAGCTTCCACTGTCTCCTACGATATCTCTTGATGATGGACTTGTTTATATGTATCGCGTTCAAGTTACACCAGCAAGAGTCTATTTCTCTGGACCAGAGGTGAATGTTTCGAATCGCGTGCTTCGACATTACTCCAAGTATATCAACAACTTCCTCAGGGTATCATTTGTTGATGAAGATCTTGAAAAAGTTCGTTCCATGGATCTGTCTCCACGCTCTTCTACTCAAAGAAGAACCAAGTTATACGACAGGATATACTCTGTCCTTCGCGATGGGATTGTCATAGGCGATAAGAAGTTTGAGTTTCTCGCCTTTTCTTCCAGCCAGTTGCGGGAGAACTCTGCTTGGATGTTTGCACCGATAGACGGGCTAACATCAGCACATATCAGAGCTTGGATGGGTGATTTTGACCATATAAGAAATGTAGCAAAATATGCTGCAAGGCTTGGTCAATCTTTTAGCTCGTCAAGAGAGACACTCAATGTTAGGAGTGATGAGATCGAAGAGATTCCTGATGTTGAGATTATATCTTTAGGGACACGCTATGTGTTTTCTGATGGAATAGGAAAGATCTCAGCTGAATTTGCTAGACGGGTGGCTAAGAAATGTGGCCTCACAGAGTTTTCTCCATCTGCTTTTCAAATCCGTTATGGCGGTTATAAAGGAGTGGTGGCTGTTGATCCAAACTCATCAAAGAAACTGTCTCTGAGGAAGAGTATGAGCAAATTCGAGTCGGAGAACACGAAGCTTGATGTTTTGGCATGGAGCAAGTACCAACCTTGTTATATGAACAGACAACTGATTACACTTTTGTCTACTCTCGGAGTTAAAGACAGTGTATTTGAGAAGAAACAAAGGGAAGTTGTGGATCGGCTCGACGCAATCTTAACTGATCCTTTGGAGGCTCACGAGGCTCTTGGTTTAATGGCTCCAGGGGAGAACACAAATATTCTCAAGGCATTGATCTTGTGTGGCTATAAACCTGACGCCGAACCTTTCCTTTCAATGATGCTTCAGAATTTCAGGGCATCTAAGTTGTTGGAACTACGGACAAAAACAAGGATTTTCATTTCTGGTGGAAGATCTATGATGGGATGCCTAGATGAGACCAGAACATTGGAGTACGGTCAGGTAGTAGTGCAGTATTCAGATCCCATGAGGCCGGGAAGGCGATTCATCATCACCGGACCTGTTGTTGTTGCGAAAAACCCTTGCTTGCATCCTGGTGACGTGCGTGTTCTTGAAGCTGTCAATGTCCCAGCTTTGAATCACATGGTGGACTGCGTTGTATTCCCACAAAAAGGCTTGAGGTAAACACTTTTCGAAGATTGATTCTTGATTTTTTTCGAGCTTTCTTTGTTTGAGTCTCGAACATTCACTGGAATCTTGTGTTCTTTTGTGCATAGGCCTCACCCAAACGAATGTTCTGGGAGTGATTTAGATGGAGATATATACTTTGTATGTTGGGATCAAGAGTTGATTCCACCAAGAACGTCTGACCCAATGGACTACACTCCTGAACCAGCTCAAATCTTGGATCATGATGTCACAATTGAGGTAAAAAAAAGAAAATTGATCACTTTGGTTATTAATTTATTTTTTGCGTTAGGAAATTGATTGGCTAACTTGGTTTCTAGGAAGTTGAAGAGTACTTCGCGAACTACATTGTGAATGATAGTTTAGGTATCATCGCGAATGCTCATACCGCCTTTGCGGATAAGGAACCACTCAAGGCGTTTAGTGACCCATGCATTGAGCTTGCAAGGAAGTTTTCAGTTGCGGTAGATTTCCCAAAAACTGGTGTTGCCGCTGAGATACCGCAACATCTTCACGTGAAAGAGTATCCTGATTTCATGGAGAAACCGGATAAGCCAACATATGAGTCGAAGAACGTGATCGGTAAGCTTTTTAGAGAGGTAAAAGAGCGAGCTCCACCGTTGATATCGATCAAATCATTCACTCTTGATGTGGCCTCAAAGTCTTATGATAAAGACATGGAAGTTGACGGATTTGAGGAGTATGTTGATGAAGCTTTCCACCTCAAGGCGAATTATGATTTCAAGTTAGGTAATTTGATGGATTACTATGGGATTAAGACTGAGGCTGAGATACTTAGTGGTGGTATCATGAGGATGTCAAAGTCATTCACCAAGAGACGAGATGCAGAGTCGATTGGAAGAGCGGTTCGGGCGTTGAGGAAAGAAACTTTGTCATTGTTCAATGCTTCTGAAGAAGAAAATGAGTCAGCAAAGGCTTCGGCTTGGTATCATGTAACGTACCACTCAAGTTACTGGGGACTTTATAATGAGGGTTTGAATCGTGACCATTTCTTAAGCTTTGCGTGGTGCGTTTATGATAAGCTTGTGAGGATCAAGAAGACCAATGCTGGGAGGCGTCAGAGGCAGGAGACGCTCGAGCGGTTAGGCCATGTTCTGCGTTTGAGTTGATTTTTTATTTTTATTGTTTTGGTTATGACTTGTGAGTTATGTAACATAAATGTTTGGTTTTAAGTGAAATCAGAAGTTTCTACTTTCTATGTAATTCAATTCGGTTTGACCGAATTAACGCTAAAATTCATTCTGTTTACTCAGACTATTTTTAATCTGAATTTTTGTACAAAAATCTCTAAATTAATTAGTACCAAACAAAAAAAAAAGTTGCTACAACTAAGAGTTTCTATTTTCAACCTCTCAACATATGTGTGTATGTATATGTACACAAACAATTTCTGTTAAAGGACCAATCCCATCAAAACACATACACAACCTCTATATATACACACACACACACTCCAAAATCAAGAAATCACCCTTTGTATATCGCAATTTTGGAGGAAACCAAAAAAAGAAAAGTAATTGTATCAAAAAATAATGTTATACTGTATTCTCTTCAAGAAGAGACAAGAAGACGTTGGCGATGTAGCAGAGCAAACTTGACGTGTAAGCAAAGTTTGCCCTTGTCCAAGTAAAGCCTCACTCCAGTGACTAACCAATGACCAGGACTATGTTGAGGTCCTCGACATAACTGCGAAAGATCCACGAATTTCACTATCTTGTTATTCGCCGGCACCGGAGGTCCTCCGGGGAAGACACCTGAATCCAAAACGACTTCGTTTTTGTCTTTTTGGATCATATTATGATGAACACTCCCACTAGTCAACGGCATGCTCATGGAAGAGAAGATTCCCGATTTCTGAGAAGTTCCGGTTGGTCCATGAACCCAACTATTCTGAACGACATAGTGTTCAGAGACTTTAGTGAAACGAAGACGGAGATGGAGAACAGATTTTGAGCCATGTTTCTTCACTTCTAGTTGTGCTCCGGTGACGATGAAAGCGACGTCGTTTTGGGACTTGTGATTGCTTGTTGTTGTGATCCAGTTTGGGTCATACTTCACTGGAGCCGTACACACGTGTGAGAATTTCTTACCGTTTAAAGATTCGAAGTATCGATCATTGTCGGTGATTTGATCGGAGCCTCTCCATATATGTTCGTCGGTGATCTTTTCCCCAACTGTAGTTCTTGTATTTTCTAGGTGTTGTAAGTGTATAGCAAGCCTGATGACCATAAAATCTTATATAATTATGCTTAAATTCTATAAGAAACAAAAATGTATGGCATTGCTAGACTAAATTGTCAACGTTAGTTATTTCATCTTATTTGATAGATAATGGTATCAAATTCACCGTACTTATTTAAAGAAATAATGTCAAATGATATGTTTTCTTTGGTTGACTTTTTACCTATTGCATTTCTTGCCTTCGAGGAACAATCGCATTCCAGTTACTGGATTCTTCTCGCTAGTCACCTAACCCGGAAAACCATTAGTAAAACTACTAATATTCTTACATGTATAGTTAGTTTACTAATACTGTAAGTGATATTGTGAAAAAGAATTGTAAGCAATAATTAGAGATGTATATAAATAATACACGTACGGGAGTGGTATTAACGTATAGTTTGGGACCCATGAAGTTGATGTGAAGAGCTGGATATGCCGAAGCCATGTTTGGGGCCGCGCCAAACGGAAGGTCGTTATGGACCGGAGCCCATGTTCTTGGTCCAGAGAAGTCCAAGAAGTATTGTAGGTCCATTAACGGCGGCTTGTCTGTACAAATTACCCTCCAAATCATTTACCAAACTAGACTAGTTTCAATAGTCAAAATATTGAGGTAAGAATAGTTACATCTGAGGTAGAGAGACATGGCGTGAGCGAGAAGACCAGAGCCTGGGACGTCTTTAAGGAGTGATGTGATCGGAATAAAGTTGAAATTGATCGCGTCGGGATTTTGCGGAACTGTTATTAGCCATTCGCTATGGCTCTTGGCTCTTCCGTCGCCTCCTCTTTTTGCGCATATAACCGTTATTCCCTGCATGCAAATGGTTCTTCTAGTGATTTACATTTTCATTATACAATTCGCTAGCTTAGATTTTAGATATGAAACTTACTTACATTTTGGGAGTTTATCGAGAAATTATTGAAAGCAACCGTTTGTTTGTCATCAAAGACGTTGAAAGCCTCCGGAAACTGCAATATTAACGGTGCAAATGGTTGTATAGTTAGAAAATTAAACAGGCTAATACGTTTTGATATCGATCTTTGTTTCACTAAATCCTTAAATTTCATTATGAACAAATGTATAGTGTTAATTACTAAGTTGAATTTTGGATTAAGATTATGAAGTTAGTTAATGAAACTGACCTTGGGCTGAGAGTGTGAGTGGTGATAGGCCTTATTGAGCCGGCGTGTGGAGAGAAGGCAAGAGCCGGTAAACAATTGGTCGCCGAGATCATAGAGATGGTGACGGAGGAGGTCGTTGTCGAGATCGGATGACTTGTCTTGCCTCACAACTACCACGTCTTGTCCTCCTACGCTAACTCCAGTTATTACGTGTGTCCCATACCTCTCTATAAACCTGTTGTTTTTTCAATATTGTTTTGGTTATTATTATTACTATAATAGTGACAAATTATTTCGTATTAGCTAATGTTTTTGATAACAAGTTGTCTGGTAGTTAGTTTATACTGTATATATGTTAGATTATTGTTTCAGAGTCTTTGCAAATAATGTTCAGTTTTTCAACGTTTTTATTAGTTTTTTTTAACTTAAGTTCAATGAGAAAATATCAAGAAACTTCTCCATTCTTGGGTACCATCGTAGTTGAAAACGTTGACAATTGAATTTAGATATTCAAAAGATAGGAGAAAACAGATATTCTACATTAATTGATATCATAGAATTAGTCAAAAATACCACAGCTGTTCTATCACAATTCAACTAAAACAATTATGTCCAAGTTTAGAAAATTTTGATTATATATGTTTGTTGTGCTCATAATGTTAGCTATATCACTCAGTCAATGAAAGTATATACTTAAAAAAAAACATGTGTACTACTGACCTAGCCAATAATTGTGGGTCCCATGAAGACGGAACTGCGTTTCGAACGCGATCAGTGAGACGCAAACGATTGGGATTGTGGATATGGAGATTAAATAGCGTTACAACAGAAGCGTCAAGACCTAAAGATTTAACGTTTGACGCGTCTGTTGCCCATGACCCGCTTTGAAACCCGAACGTCGCGTTAAAATTTCCCGACGGTATTTTTCCGGTCACCGACGACCTCTGGTTAAAATACTCCGACATCTGAATCATTCAAAACAACAACAACAACACACATGTAATGTAAAAATATCTGATTTAGAACTTAGAAGTTTTGTGTTATATTTAAATGATCAAGAAACTATAAAATGAGGAACCTTGTTGAAGTCAAGAATGTCCGAACGGAATCGAGTTCGTTCTCCTTTGTCGCAGTTTATATCGGCGGAGACATTTTGAAAAACTCCGAAACCAGGAATATGCAATTCTCTGTTTTGAGTTTGGTCAAGAACAACCAACCTGTCATCTCCGGCGGCGCCGTCGCCGTCTTTGCAGTATTTCAACCGGAAATCCGCCGTCAAATCGAACCCTTTGCCAAGACTCTTAACCGCCGTTTCAATTACATCTCCTCCGCCGCCGCCACCGTCTCTGCTCATCTCTGTTTCCTCTGGTAGTAAAAGCTGCGAGTCTCGGTTGGAGAAAAGGCATTTGTGTATATATATACTAATCAAGAGAGATATATAAATAATGTTTGATTATTGGTTGTAATGATGATTAATCAAAAACTTATTATATAAATTAATCTTGAACAGAGGAAGAAAAAGAACGTGATGCTGTGATTATCGGATTATTCCAAAAGTATGAAAACGACGAATAACAGCATCGTTTACGAAGTCTTCGGAGGAACACGTAAATAGATTACTTGCAACGGTATACTTTAAAAAGGTTATAACATTATAGTGATTTTGGTTGATATAAAATTAATTCAAATTGTAGACATTATAAGAAAAGAAAAAAACTGATTAGCAACTTTAATTTTTTATATAAACAATTTGCTCTTTATTTGGCCATATGGTAATTATGTGTTTTATGTCTATGCTAAAATTCTACTAGATGTTTACGTAGTCGATGCAGTTATTATAAGTAACGTTGATATGGTTTTATGAATGTGTTTTTGTTTGTTGCAATAAGAATTGCATATAAATTCCCATAAACCAAAAAAAAAACAAAAAGATTTTGAGTCGTTGACCATTTAACCCGCGTCTCAAGAAGAAGAAAAAACTAGAGTTTCAACTTTCAAAAGTCCTCTCTTATCACATATCAAACCGATATCAGTTTAGCTTCAACTAAATAAACGATTTGTACATGAATTAATCAAATAAGGTTGTATTCTCTTATTTTCCTAGATTTGATCATTCCATTTTGTTATGAAAAGTGGTAAAATACATTTAACGCACTAAGTACGTTTAATCTTAACATAATTATCAACCTTAAATTTATTAAAATGAGGGGGAAGTAGTCCCCACGGCTAATTAACCCAATCCAAAATTTCCAGTTTAGGTGATAAAACTAAATAATATGAACATGACTATATTTTGAAAAACTTGTTTGACTGATTAGTTAATTTTCGATAGCAATGTCCAACGTCTCTTTCTTACATAAATAACACAGAAGTTGCCTCTTCTTTTTCTCTTATTTACTTATGTTTTCACACACACACACCATTAAGCTGATGTGACTACAAAATCGCGTACACGCATAAAAATATCACAAAAATAATGTCGGTATATAAACAAACACATCAACATAAGAACATAAAATTGCATTGTTTACCTCCACTCGAACTCGATATCATAGCTTGACTTATATGTCGAGTATTTCTAGCATTTTAATATGTTGTTCAAAATCGGAATAAACGGAGCAAATACGTATATATGTTAAGTGTTTGGTAGTTTGTTTTCGAGGTGAGGATACAGACAAATATAAAATGAGTTACAAAAGGGTCACATATAGTCATATAGTCGACAAGAAACAAGTGTAGATATACATCTCCAAGATGATTTGATCTTAAATCATTAGCGTCTGTGTGAACGCAGCTTTCGCAACGCGTCTTTCATGTTTGTTTATTACTATTACTTTATTTTTTATAATCTTTTTCACTGGCATTGGTTTAGTACGTATGATTGGTCAAATTATACATTAAATCCTTTTTTTTTTTAAATGATCACAATTATACATTTCTCCTGTTATATTAAACAATAGCCCATGAAAAAACTGCATCTCTTAATTATAGTTTTGCCACACGTTTTTTCTTCTGCCGATTTTAAATCAAATTTTGGCTATTTATCTAAATAAGCATATAGTTTTTTAACCCTCGTGTTAATTATTGCATATATTTTTAAAAATAATTGATTTTATGTTTTGTTTTCTTTAGTAATGAAAATCAGATTTCCATAATTTAATATATACCTTTTTTGGAGTAAACCATATTAATACATGGAAAATATACTCGAAGTAATGGCCCAGGCCCAAGAAAGCTTTTTCGTCGGCTTAAGTATAAATTATGTCAGCTTTTAAGTTAATAATAAGCCTTCAAATAATATAATTTTGACGGTTGTGATTTCATTTTGAACTTTAACGGTTTCGATCAATTATAGTAAAACGAGCAAGCCCATTACGGCCCAATCTACACAGCTTTGTCTTTTCGTCTTCTCACTAATCAGACTCGACATGGTGACCGGAGAAGAAGGTTTCGATTTCAAAATTTCTAAACGAAAAGTTTAAAATTTCGAGGCGGGAGATTTGCGAAATCAATGGGCTTTTCTTCTTCTGTTTCAAATCTGGAAATTTTCGCGCTAATTCGCTTTTAGGGTTTGTAAAATTTCATCTTCCTTAATTCCTTGTTTGAGCCTATTTGATGACTCGCTTTCAAATACTTACATTTCTCTCTCGATGGTATGTCTCTCTGATAGCGATTTCGTATCGGTGGTGTTGAATTTAGTGTATGAAATTGCTATTTTTGATCGATAAATTTGAGGGTTTTAAGGAGAAATTGGTTTAGGGTTTTCTTGATTCTGTGTGTTTTCTGTAACGCAGCTCGTGATGGATGACTATGGTGGTTCTGATTTGAGCATTGAGGATCTGATGGATGAGTATTCTTCTCGACCCACCCAAATAGCTGAATGGTTATGGTGTATTGAATATGTAGCCAAATTTGTGAAGGATATAAGCTGCTTACTCGGTAACTCGATTCGAAACTCCTCTTACGGTTTTTGTGTATCTTAAGAGCAGAGCAGGTGTTAATATGAAGTCTCTTTGTTTCAGATTTGATGAACATTGGTTATCAATACTCTAATGACTATGGGAGGAGGATTAATGAAGTCCTGTCTCTTAGAGTCTTGGAGTTCATGTTTGATCCAAGCAAGTATGATGCTAACGGTGTTGGTGTTGCTTCTACTTCAGAGGCAAAAGTTGAGTTTGATTTATCATTGAGTAACACTGATGTTCTCAGAGCAATTCTGAAAGAGGTATAAGGAACCTGTATTTGACTAGCAGTAGTAGAATTAGGATCTATGGGTTTCTAATTGTAGTATTTTGTTCTCTTATGCTAGATTCCAGTATCAGAACTACGAGCGGGCATGCCAGAGCTATCAAAGTTTGATGTTTTTCCATTTATTGCTCACAAGAACTTGTCTTTGCCACAATGTGCACTAGAGAAGGTAATGATTCTTTATACTTTCTTTTAGCTAAGGATGCCGAATCAAGTGATTTGAATAACAATGCGCAATGCTTTTTTTGTTTGGATTGTGTAGCTGAGAGATGTGAGTTTAATGGAGAATCAGACTAGTGCTGCTCCTTCCGTGGAAACAAATGACCCTGTTTTTGGAGATGATAGATCAGTGCACATGGATACATGCGAGGAGGAGCCGGTAGATGAGCAACAAGGACATATTGGTAACGAGAAGGAACCCATTGATGAGCAACAAGTACGTATTGGTAACGAGAAGGAACCCATTGATGAGCAACAAGTGCATATTGGTAACGAGAAGGAACCCATTGATGAGCAACAAGTGCATATTGGTAACGAGAAGGAACCCATTGATGAGCAACAAGTGCATATTGGTAACGAGAATGAACCCATTGATGAGCAACAAGTGCGTATTGGTTTGGAACAAAACATAAATGAGAAGGATAAAGTAATTTCCATTGACGATGAAGATGAGCCAATGCACACCAATGAAAAAGGTGAAGTAATTGTGATCGATGACGATACTGAGAGTGATCAAGGCATAACCAGTGAACCCATTAACAACGGTAATACTACTGATGAGACCACCTTTTCTCCAAGCTCTAGAAGATCTCCAGAGGATGCACATTTTAGCACAACCAGTGAACCCATTAACAACGGTAATACTACTGATGAGACCACCTTTTCTCCAAGCTCTAGAAGATCTCCAGAGGATGCACATGTAAAATGTACAAAAGATGGAACCTGGTTAATCAGTGGGAGCGATGATGAGTCAGATACGGTTAAAGATCCACCCTCGATCAAGAAAAATCCAAACACTTACTTGAACCTTCTTCCTTCGAGCTCCCGAACAAGACCGGAGAATGTATGCTGGAAATGTGAGAAAGAAGGAACATTATTGATATGTAGCAAAAGCGAGTGTGCAACAAAAGTTCACAAGGAATGTTTGAATTGTCCGGTTAACTTTGATGAAGATGGGAACTTTCTCTGCCCTCTGTGCTGGTATGACCGAGTCGCCATGGAGTACCATGAATCTCAGAAGTTGATTGGCGGCGCCAAGAGAAGATTGGTGAAGTGTTTCCCGGTACTTTCAATAAGAAGCAAGAGACTCAAGTGATGAAATTCCTGCTGCAACTTCACTGTAATTTATTCTCTTCTTTGTCTTTTGGGGTGATCGATGTTAGATATGTAATTGTAGAATTAAGTATGTGCTTTTGTGCAGTTCGAATCTCTTGTCCTTGGTATATTCTGGATAGGAGACAAGTTAGGGAAGGAAGGTGAAGCAACAATGTTCATGTGTTGATGTAAAGAATTTGAAAACGCAGGCGGCAAGTTAAGGATTTGAATGGTGATTATTTAAGGGTAATTGTACTAAATGACGATGTACATAGATTATTGTTCTTTAATTTGCAAAAATTAACTAAATAAATCCTACTTTTATTGTATTCAATCTCCTAAGAAAACAAAGATACATTTGATCAAAAGTGAACCCAAACCAAAGTTAAAAAATCATATTATAGACATTTCTCTATGTCCTAATAAAAATTAAAATTACAACCTAGACAGAAAATCCAAAAAATATAAACACATCTGAAATATTTTCGAGTTTGATATTTAACATTCACCTAAAACCTATCCTTTTTCTATACTAAATATGAAGTTGTTCTTTTTTTTGTAAGAAAATATGAAGTATCTAGCAATATTGTATGAAAATTGTGGTCACCATCTTGAATCAAGAGACCAATAAATGAAGTAAACTTAAGATTGATAGTTGGAGACTAAAGAAAAGTAGAAGAAAATAAGTAAAGTTTAAATATTGTTATCTTAATTTGAAAAAAAGAAGAAAGTGGATAGTACGAAAGGTCGTTATCGAGAGATCAATAATAGGGTTTGGGGCTCCAAAACTGGCAAACTCATAACTCATCAAAAATGGAACTGTCCCATTGATGCAACAGTTCTATTCCTATTTACGATCTTCTCACTGTTCCCTCTTCTGATTCCTTTTTTGTCCACCTTCGTTGCCCTCTCTCCTCCTCCAATTTCTCCAACATTATTATACAATGTATATAGCACCTTACTAGTGTTTTAAGATCAACCCACTAGGTTAACACAAAATTTCAATTATGAGGTTGTGTTATTATTTCAATAAAACATACCAAATAATCAATGTATATACGTGTAGATTAGACTTTAGAGTTATATGTTTCTATAGTTTGAGATATTTAGGAGATAGGAAGGATGGAAACGAAAAAGGCAAAAATGGAAGCAATGAAACTTGTGCATAATTCTATTTATCGACAGTCTGACTCAAAGTGCTTTCGTAAGCAATGATACAATGCTTCACCCTTTTCTTCTTAATTCCACTGTTCCTCCTCTCTTCTCCTTTCACTTCACCTCTATCTCCTTTTTCTTATTTCGCATCTTTTTCATCTCCTTAATTTGTTACTTACTCTGTATCCCATTTATTATGTGTTTTATTTTTTTAATAGATAAAACCCATAACTTTGTTTTTGTTTAGCTGAATATTATTAGCATCTTAATAATATGATAAGTGACATGTCGACAATAGTTTGACCAATGACTAATGTTATCGTATGATTCAATTATTATATGTAACAGTAACAAGTGTCTCGTAGACCGACAACAAGACCAAAAAGTAATCTTAAAACCCTAGCTTTAAACTTAGATATATGTTTCTCTACATGTGTGTATATCTATATATATACGTACACAAATAATACTTGTAGAGCATGTGAGACAGTGAAATTCACTAGTGAAATATGGATGTGAAGAAAGATGAGAACAGTTTCTTAGAAAACATGAACCAAGAGATCAATCAGAATATAAAAGAAGAAGCAGAAGAAGAAAAAGAAGAGATTCTAAAGAAGAGAATCTCAAGCCACCCTCTGTATGGGCTTCTTCTTCACTCACATCTCAATTGTTTAAAGGTCCCCTCTTGCTCTCCCCCCTTCTATCTCTTTTATTAAAATGATTTAACAATTGTTGAAAATATTTATCTCTTATGTATTTGAACCCACCACGACCAGGTGTGTTCCGGCGACTTTGACTCACCGGAGATCATGAACACGGCTGATGATCTTGCCATATCCAAACTCTCTCTTCACCCTGATTCTTCCTCCGAAGCTACCTCTTCAGAACTTGATCAATTCATGGTTTGTATTTCCCTTTTTTTCTAAATAAAACAACATTTTCAGCCAAAACATATATATTTACACAACAATAAACAACATTTTCACATCACTTTTATTTTTTTTCCGTTGCAGATATATTTAACTTTCAAATATTCTAAGTTTATTTTGCCAAGAGCAAAAATAGTAGTATTGTTGATACGTGTAAATTGATTCACATTATAGGAAGCGTATTGCTCGACTCTACGAGAGCTCAAGGAAGCAATGGAGAAGCCACTAATCGAAACGCACCGCTTTGTGGATGCCGTGTACACTCAGCTAAACGACATCGTTATGTCATCATCCCCTTAAAAAAGGGTAACATGAACAACTGTTCGGTGCTACTATGTCAATGCATTTTGCCAAAATTACTTTACTACTCACGTTTCATTGAGCTGCGTTTACGTAACGCGTTTGTATAAGCGTTTAATGGTAACCGTAATTTATGGCATGCCCTCCTGCTTTTTATTTAAGAAAAAGAAAACTACTTATATTTTTCAATATTGGATTGATCATTCATTTACACACTCTTTAGAAAACAACAGTAGAATAAAATATAAAAATAACGCTAGCTTCCATAATTCTTTTCAAGAATTTGAATAAAGAATCCAAGAAGCATTCATAATTGCGTCACCTTATAACGCATTTCTTTTCTTCCTATGTAACGGTTGTTGCATTGCTTATTTTTGAGTACATATAGATACAGAAAGATAGAATGACTAAGCTTAATATATCCTTGAGAAAGCCTTTGCGTCATTAACATGGTGTAAGACTACATGCACATTCAGCGTTTGGAGCTCCGATTTTATTACAGTAAGAGGGAACAGGACCGTAATAATCGCGACACATTTGGTCGCATTTTTTAGCATCGCATGGAACCATTGGCCAGAAAACGGGGCAAGTTTGTTCCATCATTCTCGTCTCTCTCGCACCTTTAAACAAACATACGAAAATTTAAAAATTTGTGACAAAACCAGGATATGTCTTCTTAATTAGAAGATAAGATTAAAACTACTATTTATTTAAAAGATAATTTGTACCTGAGGCTGAAACTATGAAGATGGCCATGAAAAGAACAGCGAAATTTATGAGGTTTCTCATGGTTTTATGTTTTTTTTTTAATAAACTCAGATGAAAACTGGGACGTTTTATAGGCGAAATTGATAGAGAAAACCGGAAAAGATAGGCTCTCTTTTTTTTGTAAAATAGATGATAAACTTTTATCTGTTGAAAGAAGTGTTTATTTTGGAAAATTATGAATTTTATGTCAATATGATATTAGAATTTAAAATAGCTGGATTTTGTTGACCTCATTTTATGTCCTATATCTGTATGTACTATATTTAGATGATTTTGATAATTGCTGTTTTGAAAAGAAGATATTTCTTTGATAACGAAGTAATTATGAACTTTCCAAGATTAAAAAAAAAAAGTCTAGAGATAATTGATTTTGATTTTATATATAATCTTGGTTCATATCATCATCTAATTCCTCTATATACATTTTTGCCGTTGTCCAAAACGTTTGGGCTCCGTAGGAACTAAAGGAGATAGATATTTAAATATTGGGTCTATAGTCTATACTATTTGGTGCATCATGGGCTTCAAAGTTTAATTTCTTTTTGGCCCAAGTTAAGTCAATTAACATTAGTCACCAATGAAGAAGAGAAATAATTTGCTTGACCATGCGACATACCATATGTTACACAAGTAATGTATGTACGTATAATATCATCACAGTGATGTATTAAGAAAATGAAATTTTCTGTTTTAATTCCAACAATATAACATCCACAAAATTTATCTATGATTTTTTTTTAAATCACACCTATGCTTAATTTATGTTTCTTTTAGTCCTTCCACGTGATGTGATGCAAAAAAAAAATGATTAGACTGTATGTCGATAAAAGCATACTAGATAAATTAATAATTGAAGTAATTATCAAAACCGCATGTTTTTAGCTAAATCTGTGATTGTTTCAGTACACAGATGCATTAATTTAAACGCAAACGCTGATCTCTACATTTGCCAAACAAGACTAGCGTCCAAAAATTGCGATTCGTTCACGTGCACCAACCCGCAGGGTATAATAATCTCTCTTACTCGCCACCATCTCCACTCTTCCCAATAAACTTCCATAACTGCATCAGCCCACTCTCTAGTCTCTAACTAACGAACTTCCAATTTCAAATTCGAAATTCGAAATTCTACATTTAAGCATTCGTACGGAGAAAAAATGAAGGAGATCGCGATGAGGAATTCGAAGCGCAAGCCTGAGCCGACGCCGTTCGCCGGAAAGAAGCTCCGGTCGACGCGATTACGCCGGAAGAGAGCTCAGATCTCTCCCGTTCTTGTTCAATCACCTCTCTGGAGCAAGCAAATCGGAGTCTCTGCTGCTTCTGTTGATTCCTGCTCCGATTTGCTTTTCGTAGCCGATGACAACGTTTCCTGTGGTTCGAGCAGAGTCGAGAAGAGCTCGAATCCGAAGAAGACTCTAATTGAAGAGGTAGAAGTTTCTAAACCTGGTAATAATGTGAAGGAGACGATTGGCGATTCGAAATTTCGGAGGATTACGAGGTCTTACTCTAAGCTACACAAGGAGAAGGAAGGAGATGAGATCGAAGTAAGCGAATCGTCTTGTGTTGATTCGAATTCTGGTGCTGGATTAAGGAGATTGAACGTGAAGGGAAACGAATTTAACGACAACGACGAAATCTCTTTCTCACGATCCGATGTGACCTTCGCCGGACATGTCTCCAACAGCCGGAGTTTGAATTTCGGATCGGAGAATAAGGAGAGCGACGTCGTTTCAGTCATATCTGGAGTTGAGTGCTGTTCTAAGTTCGGGAGCGTTACCGGGGGAGCTGATAACGAAGAAATTGAAATCTCCAAACCAAGCAGCTTCGTGGAAGCTGATTCCTCTCTTGGATCGGCCAAGGAATTGAAGCCGGAGCTTGAGATAGTCGGATGCGTCTCTGATCTCGCTTGCACTGAGAAATTCTCTGACGAAGAGGTTTCGGATTCTTTCGATGATGAGTTATCTGAGCAGCGTTCCGAGATATTTTCACAGTATTCCGACTTCGATCACTCGGATTACACTCCGTCGATCTTCTTCGACTCTGGCAGCGAATTCTCTGAGAAATCTTCCTCTGATTCTCCTATTTCACATTCTCGCTCTCTGTACCTCCAGTTCAAGGAACAGTTCTGTAGATCCACAATTCCAAACGATTTGGGATCTTCTTGCCAGGAAGAAATTCACTCTGAAGTAAGTGGTATAAGGATTTCATATCTCTTGGAATAGTTGCTAGTGGTTAGAGATTGAAGATGTGGTTACATGCTTGAAATTTCACTCGATTACTAGTCTGTTTTGATCTGATACTTGTTCTGCTCTGTGTTCAAGATTTGACTCTGAAATTTTGTTCTGGAATGAATCTTAAGTATACATTTTCGTTTTAGTTGCTAAGGTTTGATGATGAGGAGGTGGAAGAGAGCTATCTAAGGCTGAGGGAAAGAGAGAGAAGTCATGCATATATGCGGGACTGTGCTAAGGCTTACTGCTCCATGATGGACCATACTGATCTCATCCCTCGTTTACGCTCTATCATGGTTCAGTGGATTGTGAAGGTGAATATTATCTTTCTGTTCAAATGCATTTGGTTATATATCCATTGATCTCTGAATGTTGAAGCTCGGAAATATGTATCAGTAGCAGAATATTATGAAGAGAATGAATGTTTGGAGATCTTGTTTCTGGTTTTAAGAATGTTTTAGCCTAAGGAAATCTATAGCTTACTTTGGAATCTTATAAGGTTTATGTATCAGTAAGCTATGATATTCTTAATTTGTTGCTGATTGTCTTCTCCCTGATTACAAGCAGCAATGTTCTGACATGGAGCTTCAGCAAGAGACATTGTTTCTAGGAGTTGGTCTGTTGGATCGATTCCTGAGCAAAGGATCATTCAAAAGCGAAAGGACTCTAATACTAGTCGGGATTGCGAGTCTTACTCTGGCCACCAGAATTGAAGAAAATCAACCTTACAACAGGTACTAACCATATTCCATCTTCATGATTCTAACTTCCAATGTTCATTAGATAACTGTTCTGAATAGGAAAAAGATTAGGACCAGTACAAGAAACTGAGTATTACACTCAACCACTAATAACGGTCTTATACACACCCTTATGGTTTCTGTAAGCAATCAATGAATTGGCTTTTCATGTGTGTCAATATTGGATTATGTTTCTCAAAAACACTCTTTACTGCAAAAACCTTCTACAACACACAGGAAAAGTTCAATTTTCTTCAGCTGCTCACCTGATACTTTCTCTTTTTAATTAGCATCCGGAAAAGGACCTTCACCATTCAGAACCTAAGATATAGCCGGCATGAAGTAGTGGCAATGGAGTGGCTGGTTCAAGAAGTCCTCAACTTCAAATGCTTCACACCCACAATCTTCAACTTCTTGTGGTAATTAAAACCTCTCTTACTATATATTTTCATGTTCCATAACACATATAAACACAGAAAGATACATATAACTATCAATCTATCATTTATACATCTCAGGTTCTACTTAAAAGCTGCTCGAGCCAATCCAGAAGTTGAAAGGAAAGCCAAATCCTTGGCTGTTACCTCGCTATCCGACCACACTCAACTCTGTTTTTGGCCCTCAACTGTAGCAGCTGCACTCGTGGTTCTCGCCTGCATCGAACACAACAAAATCTCTGCCTACCAACAAGTCATAAAGGTATCATCATCAGTCCCTTCAATAACACTTTAATACCTTTTAGTATCGAGAACATACAAGAATCTTCACAATCCCAAAACCTCTCTTTCTCTCCAGGTCCATGTTAGAACAACAGATAACGAGTTGCCTGAATGCGTCAAGGTATTTTCAGTAACACTCTCATTATATACGAATCTCATTTTTATCCACTAAACGTAAGGTAAGTGACTGTTTTCAAATTTGTGTTTCCTATACAACAGAGTCTGGACTGGTTGCTTGGGCAGTAAGCAATCAAAAAGAATCAAAAGCCCTAAAACCAGGACACAGTATACTCCGATACGAACACACAGGTTATTATTACCATTTACAAAACAAACACAAGGTAAGTAATAAGAAATTCCTCTACAGATTTATATACTTAATCGAGCTGGACTTAATTAGCTCTTGGGAATCTAGTATACCAATTATTAGGCCCTCATTTGTGTCGCCATATACATTTATTTCTTATTTTCTCCAATTCATTATACAATATTCTTAAAACAATGTATTTGTTTAAAGATTCCTCTTTATTACGTCTGATATATAAACAAGCTACAAGCGAAATCTTACAACAATCCTCATTTTGTTAGTGAAAATCGATTTCTTATACCAAACAAGGGCGTGGATTAAGACATAAAAACGCATATTATTAATAAAATACCAAAAACATTTATTGGAAAGCAAGATATATACACATATAAAGTTTTTTAAAAAAGAAGAAAA